CCTTTTAGATAATCAATGATAAGGGAAAGTCGTCCGTTAAATCGATGCATCGCAATTCCATCTAATCGAACTCTCCGTTCGTTATATTCGTGAAAGCGATTTAATCAGTGAAGGGAAACATGAAGAAAGGAACGACAAAAATGGTACTATTCAACGTCATTTTATTCGGAAATATGAAATTCCAAGCGATTTGCAAATGGATAAAATTGAATCAAAATTATCGGACCGAGGAGCATTGGGTATTAACACCAGGAAAGTACCATAAGACAATGTACCAGTTCAATGAATTCCAATTAAATATTCGCCTCCATCAAACAATCAAAATCAGATACACAATAAATAAGAAAAAATAATTTCGTTGCATTTGTATTATTTTTTATTTTTTTAAGATCTCTTGTTTTCGCTCTATTTGAATAAGTAAAATTTCCTTAAAGTTTTTGTATCGCTACTTAAAAAATATTTGCAACCTGTTTATAAGAGTTTAAGGATTTAGCTTAAGAAAACTAAGAGAGAACTAAAAGAGAGTCTCCTATTATTGTTATTGTAAAGAATAGCAGAATAATAAAATTAATAGATATCCATTTAGATTCTTTCAAATAACCCGGTCTTATCCCTTCATCGGAACCTATTGTACCGCATTAATACTTCTCAAAACCTTATTGTCTTAATGTACCAGCAAAGTTCACATATTATTTTGTTATATCTCATCAGCTTAAACAACTTAAATTATATCTGTCCCATATGTCATTGTAGCCACTTAAAAGCTCCTCAAAATCTACTGCTATCACCTATAATGTTCAATCATCTTTAATAATAATACTCTACTAAAACATTGTGCTTTATTTTTCTGCTGAAAGCTGACGCTGCAGTCAGAGTTCTTTAAATAGATTTCACCACAAACAATATTCGTAACCACAAATATTGGAATTTTGAAATCATTATTTCCATCCACTGTATAAATTTTAGTGAAAATTTTGCACGATATAAACATAACTCATAAGAATCAGCTAGGTTTGCTACTGGTTTTGCTACCATTTTTAACCCTATTAGTAACATTTAATCTCAAATTCTATGATTTGCTTTGTCTTTTTTTTGGGTTATCTTACCACTTCACCTATTTTTTTAAAAATCATTAACCTTTCCGACTCCATGAATTCGTGATAGTCAATACTGCATTGCTTCTAACCACAAATTAAGCCCCTAAACGTTCTATAAAATTGATATTTTAAGTATATTTCGACAAATTTCGGTATAATTGAACTCTTCTAAAAATTATTTTCGAAGTACAGTGATAATAATCCTATTTAATTCGAGGTATGGCGATCTCTATGAATTTTTTTATTTCGATTATTTTTCCATATTTTCCCAAGGAAGCTAAAATAGCGAAGTGGATACTCATCTAGATTATCGTATTGAAAGATGAAAGTCCAAATTATTTTGTCACCTCACCGACAAGAGCAAATCTATTATAGAAAACTTCGGACAATGCTGGGAGGACAATACACACAACTATATTCTCATAAAATTCTCTGATCCAAGAAGTCTATGAAAACATAGACAAGCCTTGAGCCCAAGCCCTGCCGGCGACGAGTTCTATTCGCGATTCCCGCTATTATACTAGTTTAATGCTTGAATATTCGATGGTACTGGCAAAACTCTCCAACTACTTGCGTAAATCGAAGCAAATATAATTACTATAGCACCCACTCTAAAACATAGTAGCTGCCACTTTATACTAAAATACATCTAACCATGAGCCCTATTTATCGCGCATGTGATGAAAGTTTATTGGATGGTCTTCTTTGGTTATCGGTGACTGTTTTGGTTAGGCGTATTTATTATTTGTTCTTTGATTTTTTAAGTTATTGCCGTGAGTTTTTTCAATCGCCGTCCCTAAACTTGGCCTAAGTTTTTTTTTTAATTTTTCGACGATTTACATTTACATATATGCATCCATATTTTATTGGAAAAAAACGTAATTTTAAAATTTTCAATAAATTTTTCGATTCAAAAAATTATAAGAAAAATTAGAAAAAAGATTCAATGAAAGTATGGTTTATTTTAATGTTTTTTTTTGAATTTTCATCTCAAATTTTGTTTTTCTTATTTTTTATGGATAAATTTTGTATTTTAAATTTTTTCTTATAAATTTATATAATATAAATTTAGAAAATACAATTTATTTATTGTAGATATTAGACGGAGAAAATCGTTTGAAATTCGTTGACATTAAGTACGAAGGAAATTTGTTAAAAGTGTAACATTAAATGTAACAAACGAATAAATGAAAAATTAGAGATATGATAATCGATAGAGTTCAAGGTAAATAATAGACCGTAACGAACTGAGCAGTCTTTTTCTTCTCCTTCCTTTTCCTCTTCCTCTTCCTTCTCTCTTCTTTTTTCTTTCCTCCCCTTCCTTTTTTCCTATTCCTTTTCTTTTTTCGTCATTTTTCCGATCGACTCGGCGAAGTATCTTGGGATTTTTTTTCGTTTTTTATTGCAATTTATGTAATTTATTTAAATTTTTTTAATTGTAAAAATTTAAATTTTTAAATTTTTTTATTTAAAAGAGAGAGATAAAGGTTGAGACTTTTTTAATTTACATAATAAAATATATTTTAACGGGATTTTTTCAATTTTTTTCCAATTTTTTTTTATTATTGCACAAAAGTAGTCTAAAAGTGTTAAAGATGGAAAGGTCAAGGTCATATTGGTTGCAAGAGAGCACTTTTTTATTCTCACCGTTTCTTCCGCAGATATTTTTTGCAACATATTTTTGAACAATGAATGAAATAAGTCAGAAATAGTTCGTTTATTTTTCTCGAATTGTTTAAATTGTTTAACAATGCCTCCAGAAGACGATATTTTCGATAATTTTGATATATTGTAATATATATTTTAATATATATTTTATATATATTTAATATATATATTTTAATATATATATATTTTAATATATATTTTATATTTTAATATATATATTTTAATATATATGTATATATTTTAATATATATATTTTAATTATTTTAATATATATATCTATATATATATATATATATATTTGTATATTTTTAATAATATTTGAAAAAATATTACTTTTATGAAAATATATTTGAAGTTTCGAATTTTTTTATTTTTCAATATTTTTTATCAATTTGTACGATTGCGAAGTCATTTATGATGGATTGTCTGACACTTATAAATATTATAAATCTAGTTCTTTTAATTTATCATAATTTTAATGATTATTTCGTCCGTTTCTCTTTTTTTTCAAAAAACATTTTCTTTTTTTTATAATTTTTCTCATCTGCTAAATATTATTCTGTATTTTGCAATAGAATAGTATATAAGCCAATAATACAATAATATAATATAAGTCGGTGTGGGTTATTATCCTCAACCTCGAGTCTTTTGCCAATGTCATAGGACTTTGAGGACTTCATAGGATGCAGCATTTTAGCTATTCCTAGCAGTGCTTACTTCTAGACAGAGATCTCTGATATCGTTCCTGGATTCTATTGAAGCCACTTTTCTAGTTTAGGGATCGTAATCTCGTATTGCTTCTGCCTTTTGTGCACTGGAAGTACTCTGGTCTTACATAGGACTTCACACTTCTCTATCTAAATTGAGATTATGCTTTTATAAAAATTTATAAAGACCGAAAAACTATTTATTATAATTTAGGAGGAAAATATTTTAAAATAGTTTAAAACAATATTTATTTTCTTGCGCTTCATTTCTAAACAATAAACTATAAACTAATGGTTTATTTAATTAATAGTTAATAGTTTAAAGCCAATTTTTTATGAGCGGTGTTTTAAATTTTCTTTATTTACAATTATTATTTATATTACAATTATTATAATTATTATTTAATTATCACTAATGTATTTAACTACAGATAAATTGGATTCTAATTTCTATTTGTCTCATTTTTCTAAAATGATAATGATATGATAATTTCTAAATTTCTAAAATTTTATTGAAATCGATTTTCAGCAATTATGCGTACAGTTGTTGCATTTATATTGTTATCAATTTGTTTAATTCAAAAAAATTTCGCTGCGGATACGGTGAAGGTTACAAATAAAGTTTATTTCGATATAACGATTGGTGGTAAGGAGGTATTTCTTATTAATGTTTTGAAAATGACAAAATGAAAATATTTAGAATCTAAAATTTTAAAATTTGGAAATTAAAAAGTGATGATCATAATTAATACTAAAATAGTAAAGGAATGATAAGGAATAATAGTAAAGGAAGGAAAGAAAAGAATTTAATTTATTCGAGTGGCTTATCATTTATCATCAAATAAATATAGTTGATAGGGGGATAGAATGGCTTAGTGGGTTGTTGCTCATTTCAGAGCGCCGATTCTGAGGTTCTATTCCCCGAAGGAGTAAACCCGTCAAAAAATCACGGTTATGCGGCGACTCACCTGTATTTCTATCACCAAAGGACTCCCTATATATTTGTCCAGTATGATATACCAGAGGGGCGACTCTAACCAGTGATGGAGAGGGCTCTTATGAAGAAAAAATATAATAAATAAAATATGAATTAATGCAAATGCAAAAAGATAAAAATCCATATGTAAATAGAGTTAAATATACAAATGGGATATGCTTCTGTTGATTAAATGAATAAAAATGTTGGATATGGTTAGAAAGCTTTGCCAGGAAATTACTTGGTGAAGTACAGATGTTCGCCAGCACCACCTGGCATTTTGATGAGAAAGTGTCAAAAATTGAGAGAAAAAAATATTTTAAAGTTGGTAAGATTATCGACACAGACCGCGGAAAGGAATTTTAAAAGATATCTTAGATTAGATAAATTAGTCAAAATTTTTTTTCAAAATTTCGCATAAATTTCAAAAGTAATTAAAATATTAATAATTAATAAGATTAATAATTACCTAGGTAATTGATTAATTTTTTTTTTTTTTTGAAAAAGAAAATTCTGCGGAAAAATTTCTCTTTTAATTAACTAACATCGACGATGAATATAAAAATGTCCATAGGAGAGAAATAAGAATTTTTTGAATAAGACTAATGGTACCTTATTAATGGTAATAATCTCTCCAATTCTAAAATTTCAAGGAAATCGGTTAAAACGAATGAATAAATAAATGAATTTCTTTTGGATCAGAATCGATGCACGAAAGAATTTGAAGACATCTATTTTAAAGGATTTCGATTTCTAATCAATTTTAAAAAATATTTGCACATTTATTTATTTAATGGATATTTATTGTTTAGGCTGGAAGAATAGTAATTGGACTTTTTGGTAATGTTGCACCCAAAACTGTTGAAAATTTTCGAGCTCTTGCGACTGGTGAAAAAGGCTACGGCTATAAAGGATCGAAATTTCATCGTGTGATTAAGGATTTCATGATTCAAGGTGAGCTGTAGACAAGCTATTGTATTCATTCGTTTTAATGCTAGGAAGATAATATTAAATATTTTGGCAATTAATAAAATACTATTATTAATAGGGGGAGATTTCACGAAAGGAGATGGAACAGGTGGTAAAAGCATTTACGGTGAACGTTTCGCTGATGAAAATTTTGAACTTTCACATTACGGTGCTGGTTGGATTAGTATGGCGAATGCTGGTCCTGATACAAATGGATCGCAGTTTTTCATCACCACTGTATATATTTTATATATTATATCTTTAATTTTTAAACTTTTCAATTTATAATTATAATTTTAATTCGATTTAAATAAAATTCTATAAGTGAAATATAAAAATATTTCAAAATTAAAGAAAAAAATTACGAATTCTATAAAATTTGGTACTATGAAATAGCATTGGTGTGGTTCTTGACAATGTTTTTGCTATAAGTGAGAAGTCTTCTGTATTCGAACTATTAGGCTTATACCGTTAGGTACAAGAATAAGCGTTTCCAGTGCCATATCTGATAATCTGTAGCAGAAGCCACTTCTCGTTCCATCTTCTATATCCTTATATTTTTATATCATACTTCAATCTTTATTTTCAGGTGAAAACACATTGGTTGGATGGACGCCATGTGGTGTTCGGGAAAGTTCTTGAAGGTATGGACGTCGTCCGAAGAATAGAGTCAAGTAGAACTGAAGCTGGTGATAAGCCTGTTAATGATGTTGTAATAGCCGAATGTGGAGAAATTGAAATATCTGCTCCATTCGATGTACCAAAGAAACCCGTAGATTGATCAATTTAATCAATTTTTTTAAATTATTTTATTTAATTATTACTATTTATATTCGTATATTTTTTTTCAAATTTCCATTATTAAATCTTTTTTTCCTTTTTAAAAAATATTCCTTCAGTTTATGCTTTTTTTAACTGATAAATAACTTTTTCTTTCTTCATTTTATTTATCATAGCGATATTTTCACAAAACTTTTTTTATAACACCACCATTCAGTATTTTTGTTTTCGCTAAATCCATTTATTCACTACAAAAAAAATGAGACTATTTTAGTTAGAAAATTTATTGCTAATTAAAATCACATTATTAGTTTTCAGTACATCTATTTTATTTTCAATGATAAGAAATGAGAGAAAGAAATTAAATTAAATGATAATTGACCTCATTTAAAAGCAACAAACTAACCACTCAATCATTTCACTTCGATATCAGATGAAAATTAATCAAATCAATTTTTTTATTGTCACGAATAATTCAGTAAAATAAAATAAAAATTATCTTCGTCTGAACAAATAAACAAATATATATTTAATACATTTTGATTTATGCAAAAAAATGAAAAAATTTTCATCTTTCAAATGATTGCTAATTAATCATTTTAATCATTTTACACAATCTTCGAACGAATATTTTAACAATTTTTGCTAACCCATTCATAGAAAACTAAATTAAAAATCAATGCACTAACAAATTTAAAATGTAAATTATTTGCCTGGCTGAGTTCCATTGAAGTTCTTTCGCTTATGATGATGAAAGTAATACAAATGGATGCTAATCAGCCACCTCGAATTTATTTTTAATTCTGAAAGAGATATGCGCCGATAGATGTGCAGTTGAAACTATTTAAGATTCGATAAATTTGTATGCTCCACTCACCCCCCTCTCTTACTTTTCCCCACGTAAAAAATGAAAATGAAAAATATTTTGAAAATATTTTTAACACCTAAAGATAATATGTATTTTTCTATTGGATATCAAAGATCATCAGGATAATGAATTATTGTTTAACACTATTTTCCTTTGTATAAAGGAAAATATTTTCAATGACGCTTAACTTTTTATTATTCAAATACAAATGATCATAACTAATAAACACAGAATATGATAAAGAGATAAGAAATAATAAATGAAACCAGTCCACGAAAGATTACAAGCAACTAGCGCAGAAACTATTGGCATTTCTATATTATCAAATTTTAATTTTAATAAATTTAATAATATTAGATTTAAGTGAATTTTCTGCGAGGATATTTCTATACGGAAATAATATGAGATAAAAAAACGACTAATTATCGCTCATTCATCGAAAAAAATTTCTTTTGGTGAATGAAAGCGAAATGAGAACGAATCTGAAATAATGAAAATTTTGAAAAAACCTTTAAAAAAAAATAATTAAAAATAAAAATTAAAATAAATAAAAGAAATTCGAGAAGTTTCAAAAAAACTTAATTATAAATAAAATAAAAAAGAGCATTATACATAAAATAAAAAAAAATGTATTAAAGATATTAAAGATAAAGATATTAGAAAGCAATCGCATAGAAATTAAATTTTTAAAAATCCATTTTCTTAAAAGCAAAAGCTTAAAACAAGTAAAAGCTAAAGTAAAAGCTTAAGCTTAAAGGTTTACTCTCATCAGTGAGGAGCGAAAATCGAGCCAATGTAGTTTGAAATCGTTCAGCGAAAAAATTTCTTTCACTATTAATACGACATCAGATTTTTTTTTTTTTTTTTTTTTTTGAGCGACGTTTTTATGCTATATGTTTGCCAATTTAAAAAACACTATCTATAATCGTATTGTACATATTAAAAATAACCAACCAAAAAAACAAACAAAACAAATGGCACTGTATATATATAATAGTTCATTCACCGTTTAGAGAATGAATGCTCCTCAAAGTCTTCATCAGGAATCGGAACAAAAAAAATCCTGCAGTATTATCTTTCAAATAATAACTGAATTATTTTGTATTTTTGTTTACATATCATGAAATATCATAAAAAAAAAGTTAGAAAAAAAATCTTACCTACTAATAAGAGTATCCTCAAATTTATCTTTCTCATTTATCCGACTATGCTCTGCATCGTCCATTATTCCCATTTTACATAGTGATTCAGGTTCAGGAGCTAATAAACGACCATCTATTCGAGCCAGATTTAAAGCATCATTAGCTGTTGGTGCCTCACCAGTTAAAGATAAAAGTCTATAATTTTAAATATAAATAAAAATATTATGTTAAAAATTTTAATTAATTATATTGATAATTAATTATATGTCGTTTTAGCAAATTGTAGTCATTGATAACGTGAAAACTATTACTTTAATCGAAGATTTTTATGAAATGTTAATTCTTCCCATTTCATATAGTCGGATGCAACCGATTTGCTAGTCATCGCAATGCTTGCTCGACATGTACGTTCTGAAAACTTCAAATTCAATAGAACAATAGTAAAAGATCAACAGTCAAAACTGAACAATGGAAACTATTTGCCAAACATTTTATAAAAATGAAGATTTTTGAAAATATAAATATGCTAAAATGTATGATATAAAACCTTAAAAATATTTATAAAAATTCAATTTATAAAAAATCTTTTTATAAAAATTTTATTTAAATTTTATTTGCTCAAATTTTTTTGAAAAAGTTTATTTCGAAATTTACAAGAAAAAAAGCTGATTTATACTGAAAAAAAAGTGAATAAATGAAAGAAAAATCATATAAAAAAATCAACAAAAATATCAAAAATTTCATAGGAATGAAAAGATAAAAAATAAAAAACACTCATCCGGGTTTCGCAATTTTTGCTATTAAATTTTTTTAAAATTGTCAAGAATATTTTGAAGATAATTTCGAAACTTAATTTAATTAGCCAAGTTCGAGAGGACTGCAAAAGATATCAAGGTCATTAAAAAAACATGTTTTATGGAATTGCTGCAATAAATGATTAGAAAAAAATTTAAAATGCGAATCACTGGAAAAAACTTTTAGAAAAATTTATGAAAATTATCAGACGATTTAACCTTTCGCAAAAAGGCAAATAGGCAAATAACTAACAATCACCATTTTTAAGTAAGGTATTATCTAAAATAATTGTTAATTTGGTTAAAAATATTTATACTATTACTTTAATCGAAGATTTAAAATATTATTTTATTATTTAAAAATATTATTTCTGGCAGAAATATTTCTGCAAAGAATTGATTTCACTGAAATTATAGACGGGTCGTTACCATCACTAGTATTTTTTGATAATGGATTTATTCCGATTGAAAGCATTAGCTGAACTCCTGAATAATCAAGCCTTTCCTCTTATCTTCCTCCCCCTCTCTCCTCCTTTCTAAAATATATGCATATACAATTGAAACAATTTAATGAGGAAATCAGTAATTCTTTTCTATCAGCTCAAATAAACTTACAAAAGTTATTACTAAAATCAACATGAAAATGTCTAAATGAAAAAAAAAAAATAAACAAAGGAATGTTGCAAAAAAAAAAAATGAATTCAACGAATTACCAAAAATAATAAAAATCTCATTAGACGGTGAAAAAATAAAATGTGAAGTAAATAATAAAAAACAAAGTAATAACCTTTGTATGCGATAAATTCACTCCATGATTTTTTCGATATTTCACTTTGTCTCGTCGATCGACTATGAATTTGCCAAGAAAGATGATCATTGCTAATTTTTTCAGGCAAAATAATAACTCGAGAATTCGACGATGAAAATGAGGCATTTATCATTCGAGGTAATATGGCAATAACGAGGTAGAAACAGATAATTTTAAAAGTAACATCCTTTGAATATAATAAATATTGACTTTGATTATATAAAGTCATCAGTTATCAGTTATCATCAATGAAATCAGCCCCAGTAATGAGAAAAATAAAATCGTAGAAAGCAAGAGAACAAGAAGAGGGCTGGGAAACGTGGATATGTTATATTATTATTATGACTACGAAATTAGCCACTAATCAAAATAGGTAGAATTATAAAATTTGGCCTGAGGCAACGAATAAATTGTTCTATATATAATCAACATCGCCTGAAAAAATTTAAACAATTAAAAATTTTTTTTTACTACCAAAAACATTGATCGAAAAATCGATTCAAACAAAACAATTTTGTTTCATTTAAAATTGCGAAAAATAAAAGATTTTGAAAAATAATTCCATACATCAAAAAAAAAAAAAACGATAGAAATTGCTAAATGGCTAACAAAAAAGAATAAATATCGACAATGAAACTGTTAAAAGTGAAAACGATAAGATAAAGAAAAATTTGCTAATTTTGAAAGCTTATAAAAATCAGAAAACTAGTCGATTCTTTAAAAAATTACTTGCAAAAATTGATAAAAACATTAAAAACCAATTTTTTGTGAAAAATTCGTTTTTTTTAAAAAATTTTTCATAAGAAAAAAAAGAAAATTTTTATAAAAACTTTGATTTTATCGTAAATATTTGTTTTATATATTTGTTATATATTATATATTGTAAATATTTTATATTTCTAAAAATTTCCATTTATTTTCATAAAAATTCTGCCAAATTCTTTCCAACAATTATAAAAAATCGAAGTAGAAGCAATTATGAACAATAATCAATTAAATCACTTATATCCAGAAATGTTCCAGGCAGTGCTGATGGGTTGCGGTCGGTTACTTATCCCAGAAATATTCCAAATGGTGCTGGCGAGTGCTAATCTATCTCTTAAAACCCAAAGTTACTTATTATTAAGTTAAATAAAAGTTGTATAAAATTATTCAAAAATTTTTTTTTGGAATAAAAGTATAAGGAAGATGGAAAAATGTAAAAGAATATAAAAGAGGAAAACAAAAATTCCATCATTCTAAAAATAAACTGAAAAAACGCGAATTCAACTTTTAGGAGACAAAACAATATTTGCAGCATGAAAAATGAAAAAATATAAAAATCTTTTTAAAAATCTTGTAAATCAGCAAAAACAATCGAAACAATCGAAACAATTGAAAATTCAACTGATTGTGAGGAGATAAATGATAACAATACAGCTGAAAAATATAGAATGATAGAAATCACCCATGCATAACTGATAACCATAACTAACCAAGATAAAATTTAAAGCTGAGATAAACAGTACGGATGACTGATAATAAGAATTCAGATAATTGATAGAACAAGGCTATAGAACCTGAATATATTTTGGATGAAATCAAGTTTTTTAGCAATGATGAACCAAAAGATAATGAAATATACATTTTGCTATTGATGAAAAGCCGCTACATAATGATTTTAATGATTTCACGTTAATTACAGGAAGCACTTACTTCTATCGATATCGCATAGATAAGATCGTGTAGAGGCATTTAATAGAGGGTTTGGTATAACGCTAATTTAAAATTTGAACACATGAATAAGGCGGAAATGTCAAAATACGCTTAAGATGGCGAAAAAAGAAATTATATAAATAACCAGAACAGACCCAATGCCTTCTACCATTAAAAAGATAGTCTCAGTGAGGTTGGATCTTGCAGTGAATAACGCCTATGGAGATAGATATTGCATTACATAAACTCGATGCTTATTTGGAGAATTAATGAAAAGTTATTAAGAATACGACATCGATGCGATACTTAAAAATAAGTAACAGCATAAAAATGCATGAAACGGAAATAGCAAAAACTGTAAATTTGATTTATAAGGCCAATCTTCAACGGAAAAAATTAGAAATAAATTAAAAAATTCAAAAAGAAAAGATATTTGTGAATAAAATCGGCAATTTTATTTTTTCATTGCAATATTTACAATAATATTTTTAAATAATTATTATTCAAAAATATTACATAATAATTATATACTATTATAATTATTAATTTATATGATTATATAATTATTCAAAAAATTATTTTTTATTACTATTTTTTTGATGCTGCAAATTTCAAAGAATTTTTTATTTAAAAAAAGCTAAAATATTTCAAATTAAAATTAAAACTGAACAAATTTATTAAATTATTTTTAAATTACGCATAAATTAAAACAAATGAAAAATGATTTAAATAATTTTTAATTTAAAATAATTAATTTAAAATAAATTAATTTAAAATAATTTTATTTAAATAATACCAACAATTAATTTAAATATCCGAAATAAAAAACCTAAATATTTAACTAATCTAATCCATAATTTCCTCTTCCACCTAATTAAATTAAATATTTATTCGAAATTCGATGATTTTTCATTTTTCTAATATTTTTAACGCCAATTTTCCCTTTCAAAAAATCTGAAAATATACGAATGACTGTTTTTTAGTGTCCCGATCGATCTTTAGCACTCTTTTTCATCTACTAACTCTCAGCGCAGTTGGAAAGGAGAATCCTATAGTTTTTTTTTTACGTTGTAGTTGTAGTTAAATATAATCCTACCTCGAATGACAAAAGGAAAAGGAAAGGGGAGCGAAAGGAAGAAGATAACTTGCCTCTATAATAATTTACAAGGCAACCAAAGGCAAGGCAACCAAAGGCCATCCCCTGGATTATTTGCCTAAATTTGTCAAAATTTTTTCCAGGCCTCATTGAACACCACTCACTACCCTCTTGAATTTGATTATTCTTCTTTTTCTTATTCCTCTTTAAGACTTTCATCGTTAAGACTTCAATTTGCCTAATATCGTCTTAGGTTCAAAGTCTTTTTAATTTTATAACTTTAATAGCTTATTTCTTAAAAAGCGTAAAATAACCTCGATCCGCCGAAAACTCTTTGGTACCTCGTATATCTGTCGTATTTTGCGGAAAACCATCGCAAACTCCGCTAAATATCACTTTCATATCCGAAAACTTCTCTACATTTCTCTTCCCTTTATGCATTCGTAACATCGTTTAAAACCATTCTATTGCATTCATTTTCCTAGAATCGATTCTATATTCACATTACCTCCGCATCCTATCAAATCTCGTACTTTTGCCAAGGTCGCAATTATAAATTATAAAGTTACAAAAAATGGCATGAAGATAAATGGGGCGTTAAAGTATAGCAAGATCCATGTTAGCTAAGAACTGCAGAGGATTGGAAGAACGAAGCGTAAAGGTTCAAAAGATTGAGAAAAGAATATGGGTTTTAAGGAAACATTAGGGATTACGATATCTGCTTATCCACAGCATTTGTAACCGCAGCCACAGGATGGATCATTATTATCTTTTATTATCATTATGGGTTTTTTATTTTTAATTATTCTTATTGTTATTAATCAATGTTTATCATATGCGCTATACCTTGTGCGCTTAGGCTGATTCCACAGGTTATTAGCGTGAAGCGCTGTATGATCTGAAAGTGACAAAAGTTTTTTTTTCCACCATTCTAGTCCATGTACCACTTCATCTATAGCGAGGTGTATGAATCCTGTGGTGTCCGACGAAACTCAGGATACTAAATTATACTCGCTTGACCAGTACAGTTAGATTTCTCAGTTTCTCAGCAATCTAATTTTAATGCCGATAGCAAATCTATTATTTCTGATTGGGGATAGAATGGCTCAGGGGATTGTTGCTCAATTGTGAGTGCCGGTGCTGAGGTTCGATTCTCCGCGGGAGTAAATCTGTTCAAAAATCCGAGTAATACTGGCGACTCACCTGTATTTCTAAGGGATTCCCTGGCATGTTGCTCAATTGCGACAAGCTAGAGGAGCGAATTTGACCAGTAATGGTGAGGACTCTTCAAAAAAAATTTCTGGTTATGATCATTCAAATTGGTTAGTATGGTGGGAAATTTTTGTCGGGGAGTTTAAAAGTTGACGATAGAAATAAGGACAAGCCTATCAACATTCGGGCTTTTAATGGCAGATTTATTCCTGCCAGAGGCAAAATTCCAAAGCTGGAGGCGATAATTTAGACACCTGGCTATCCTTCCCTCTTCGATATGTTTCTCTGTTCACTTGCGTGTTATAATTGGTATTCAATCCGATATACACAACTGAATGTAATAATGAAAGCAGTACCTGATATCCATGTGGTACTTAGTACAGTACATACGCTTGGTGCTCAACATCAAGTTCTGACGCCTCATGCATCTATTGACAAGTTCTCATGCATTGTCAACTTTTTTTTCTTAACTTATCTAAATAGCCAGTAGCTTGGGTGTAAAGCAACATTTCCTCGATCTGCTTCCCGATAGGGGTACCAAACTCGTTGGAAGACGTAGGCGCCTTTCGACGTTTATATGACTCATAGTCACTAGGTCAGCGAAGCACCAATGAAATTTCCCCAAATTTCCCCAAATAGCGACACCCCCCTCCCAGTTAAGCAAAGCTATAAATATATTGGAAAACTAGCAAAAATTTAAAGGTTTAAAATTGCTGCACCAACAAACATGAACATCAAAAGATTTTTGGCATGATGACAACTGTATGCGGGGACTAACTTTGGTCTCGCAACGAAGAGTATTGTGCGCGTATCGTGCGCGCTGAAGAGAATGTGTGGAGTTGAAATGGAGAAATAGGAAGGGGTCATCTTGTAAGGTGGTGAGGCTTGTGGGTTGGGGTGGCGAGGGGGGTTATACGGTCGGAAATGCTAAATATGATATATTAACGGGATCAAGATGATATATTCTACGCTTCTAAAGGGAAAAGAAAGTAAAACAAAAGGAAGAAAGTAAAACAAAAAATTATTTCCTGGGTAGATATAGTGTTTAGTGGAAAACTGCGAAAAAAGAAGTTGAAAGAAAAGTTGAGTACTGATTATTTAAAATTTTTATTGTAGTTTTTATTAAATTTCACTTTTCATCCTAAAATTCTTAAAATATAAAAAGTAAAAAAATTAACAAATATGGGGAGGTTGGGGAGGTGGGGGGGGGGGGGGAGTGAGGAGGAGGGAAAGGGGATAAAATGGCCCACTAGGTTGTTACTTAATGGTTGTTACTATCATTTCACTCTATTGCTAGGCTTATGTTAGGGATTTAGAATTGGGGGAGCAGTAGTCTTGTCTTTCAAAAATCCGGATGGAATCGGCGACTCATCTGTCGCTAAGTAACGTCTTGGCAGAATTCGTCTGGTCTGATGAGCCAGCGAAGCGAGCCTAACCAGAAATGGTGAGCGCTCTTAGAAAAAAAATATGTATATATTAATAATATATATTAATCATGTATATTAATTAATTAAACAATAATACATGTAAAAAAAATTAATATAACAATAATATATAAATTTAATTTAATTTAATTTTACAACATTTTTAGGTAATTTATAGAATTTGCTAAAAAATCATTAAAGTGAAAAAATAGAATAAAAAAATTCGTTTTTTTGTCAATAAATCTCTATTGTTTTATTAATATTACTTTATTATAATGCCGAATCAGGAAAGGAAAATTTGAAAATGTAACAACTTGGAAATATTTTATTAAATCTGTGGAGTCATCCAGAGCAGTTGCGTGTTCCGTTTTAGAAAAAAAAGGGTGAACCAAAGACGATTTTTTATATAATCCTAACTCCATTTTATGTTTTAAGGATAATTTTGATAATTGTTCTTATCATTTTAGAATTAATAATGGATTTGGATGAAGCTGAAATTGAAGTAAATCATGGTGATGAAATGTCAGAAATGGTAGTGCAACATAAAATGCATGTTGAGGATATGAGTGACCTTATGGAAACATCACAATATGACCAAATTGGTTTTCCTTCTTTTTTTTAAACATTTTTTAAATAAGTTAAATAAATATTTAATTTATTATTATTTGTTGCTGCCAACGCAAACAATATGATTATTAACTCGACCTAATCAATTTTTTCATGCATTTAACTTGATTGATTCGCATAAATTGTGGTTATTTTATTGGACAGCTATGGTTGAATCATTTGTTGCTTTGGCTAAATGACAGGACAGTAAACTGTCATTAAAGTTGATACTGAAGGCTCTTCTCTCCCTTATTTTCTTTTAGCAGAGACAATTCAACTTAAAATATTGCCGTTTAAGAAATAGGTAGTGATTAAGGATTACTGATTTGCATAAAGAGGGAAAGCGAAAAAAAATGGTAGTAGTTTAATTTTAGGTGTAAACGAGAATATGGAAGAAGAAATGAAAGAGCAAGATGGTCAAGAAAATGGAATGTTAGGTGAAGAACATATGGAACAGGAAGACGATATGCATAAAGAAGAAGATTATGAAGGATATCAAGCTGGTGATGAGGAACATATGGGTTGGAAATTTTCAAACCTTCATTTCCATCTTTTCTTTTTTTTTCTTTTCGTAACCTTTATTTAAAAAAATAGAGTTTTTCGCAGGTGAAGATGGTATGCATATGAGAAATTACGCATTCCGTGGAAGCTTTCGTGGACCGAGAGGTTCGTGGAGAGGTGCAATATCACCTTATGGTAATGGGCCAATGGGATGGCAACGTGGTGCTCATAATCCCAACTGGCGTGGCAGATCAGGCCCTCGAGCACCGATGTATCATGGAGGATTACGAGGTTCTTCACATTATGGAGAATCTGAAGAAGAATACTTTGGCACCACAGGTTCTAATATGGGACCACGACCTCGAGGTTTTTTAAATCTTTTCTGTTTCCTAAGTTTTTTAAATGTTACATTGATTTTGTAGGCTCTATGCGAGGTAACAATTTCAATCGACCAATGCGACCATATGGCATACGAGGTATGGGTCCTAGGCCTGGACCATTGGGAGCCTACTGTAATGACAGAGGTGAGAGAGGGCGAGGTGGTGGACCACCAGGTGGTTATCCACGGACACCTTTTTATGCTGGTTACTCTGCAAACATGGCCATGGGTGGCGTACCGATGAATCAAGCTTCCGGAATGGTTCCTTTCGCGCAACAGTCTGCTGCTTCGCAAGCAGAGCGTTTAAAGAAGGTTCATGATTTGTCAGTGGTAATTCTAAAATATAAAGAAAAAAGTAATAACTAATATTAACATTCTAATATTAACATGTGCGCACTGTTTAGAAAAAAGATTTTAGCTGGCTGGTGTCGCTCCTGAAGAAGAACTTTGGGTAGAAACGAAATCACCGGAAGGTAAACCATATTATTACAATGCTGTAACTCGTGAGACGGTTTGGGAACGACCGGCTACAGCAAAAGTTATGGAGCAAGGAGAATTACAAGCTTTAGTTGAAAAGGATGCAAAAGAAGAAAAGGAACAAGGTAAGAAATTTGGGTGTTCAATTGTTTTATTCAATCTATTCCATTTAAACCATTTCAGAAAAAAATATTTTCAATGAAATATTCATTAGGTCTACTATACTGTTGAGCTCGTATTGTTGACGAGATCTTAAAAGGAAGCTTTTAGTTTCAGATCATCTGATTTTCTGATTTAAATAATGGTGCAATAATTGATAGGTCAAATTAATTAATTAATAATGGTTTGATGAGAAAAAAATTTTAAAATTTCCTATTTTTTTAATTTCTTAATTAATACAATGATATTCTTTTGTTGATGAAAGTTTTGATTGTTTTACGCAAAAATTCAAATCTAAGTATTGTTTTAAAAAAATGATTTTTGTTCTCGTTGATGTTTTCTTACTCTTTTGGTGCGCTGTTTAATTCAATTCTTTCAACAAATCTTTATCTGTCGTTGGAAACGAATATCGGTAATCATAATTCATCTAAACAGGATAAGTTTATTTATAAATAGTCTTAATATTTGAATATGAATCGAAGCTGGTGATTACTTGAGATTTCAAAAATATTTTTAAAAACTTTATTAAAATTCAAAAATTATTTGAGGCACTTTGATGAACGTGAAATATGATGAAAATTTCATGTTTAATATGAAAGTATCTGATATATTTTTGCAGCATGTGACGCTAGATATCACGGATAGGTTTCAATTTTATAATTTTCTTCGTTTTGCACCTCAGACTACATTCGATAATGAATGATATAAAGAGCATCATTGATTTTCGTGAGCAGAAAAGAGTAATTCTTTTAATAATTAACAAAGCATTCTTATAACTACTCTAAATTATGGGTTTGAAATGTAATAAAAACAAGAAACGATTATTTGAGAATGAATGAAAATTAGTATATTTAATTATTTATAATTTCATGAATAATTCGAATCACCAGCTTAATGCCAACCATTTGCTCAAATTTTTTTAACCAGCAAATAATAAAGAGAAGCAACAATAGCTAAATTTTGGTGAAGAATGAATTTGTTGTTGTCTAATAAAAAGTTTAGCGGCCTTTAAAAAATCTCGGACATTTTATTGAACATTGCGTGGATTGTTCTCTCTCGATCTACATTTTGCAGTCGATTGTGGTCAAATGTTCCAAACACATCGTAATGTGACGCTGTGTGAATGCGTAATTCTCCTTGAAATTTTCTTCTAAATAAATATGTGAGTATCACAATAAGTTTTCGTTTCGTAGGAAATCCATGGAAATGAATGACGCAACTGAAATTTTCTATTTAAAAAGGTGTAAAATTGTTATATTAAAATTACCAAGAATTGAAAATTCTGATAGAAATTTTATAACTTATGAATAAAATAAAATGAATTCAGTTTCTTATTTATGGAAGTGCATTTATAATTTTGTAAATTTTGTTATAATTTTTGTAACTTTCTGTAATTTGTAATTGTTTTGATTTTAATCTTTGCTACCCTAAAGATCTGCGAGCACATTGTGGTCTTTCATATTTATATTTGAATAATCTTCTTTTTGACATTTATCAGGAAAAATGGTTATTGCAGTGGCGAATTTTATTCATCTTTGTAAATGAATAATATGTATTGGAAGTAATTTAACCATATGTCTAAGTAATTTCATTTTCAGCGGCAAATCAATACGGAAATGCGGCAGCAAATGCTGGAATGCCTCAGATGGCTAATGCGGCTGGTGTGCCTCATATGGGTGCTTTTCCACCGATGATTCCTCCACCAGGTATTATTTGTCATAGTTAATTGTCAAGCTGTTTAGTAAACCGATTTTCTTCAATGAGTTCTTTTCTAGGGATATTTTTCTTAGGTTTTCCTCCAATGGTTCCTCCTATGATGTTTCCACCTCGACAAGTGTTTCCGCCTATGTTCGCACCAGGTTATGCTATGCCAGGAATGCCAGCAGCTATGCCAATGATGTCAGCTGAGGTGCTTTTTATTTTGTGTTTTTTAACATTCATTAATTTAATCATTAATTAAGTGCGCTTTCTTATTTACAGTTTTCGACAGTTTTTATTTCCACATGATTGTGTCTTTTGTTATCTGCTATTATTTCAGGGCATGTTCTCAGAAGCAGCACTGTGGCAAGAGTATACTGCTCCTGATGGACGAAAATACTATTATAACACTCAGACTCAAGAAACTACATGGGATAAACCAAAAGCATTGGAAGGTTCTTTTTTTTTTCTTTTTTTTGTTCACTTTTGTGTTGTAAAAATAGAAATAAAAATAGAAATATTTAAGAATATTTCTTGTAAAAATATTTCTTTTACATTGAAAGAAAAAGCTTGCAGCTTCTTCTGCTGAAGCTTCAGCAGCAGAAACAAATGCAACTGCGATAACGGAAGAACAGCAACAAGCTGCTGCCTTGGCACAACAACAGGTACATGTTTATAAAATTATGCTGGTAAAAACGAGAAGAATTATCAAACCCTACCCTACCTTATGATACTTAAGACTTTTGCTCTGTCCTTTCAGATTTCCATAAATTTTCCTCAAATTCCTTGTTCCCGGCATAAACCATCATGCTACTCTTTGCAATTATTTAAACTGTAGCCATTACTGAAGTATAGTGGTAGGTGTTAACAATAGAGATATTAAGGGATTAAGAAAATTGTTGAAGGGCTAACGCAGTAGGAAGAATGAAAAAATATGAGTGAAGAGGTAAGCCGAGGTTTTTCATGAAATATGACAGGTTTTCGACGATATCAGAAGATAACGAGTCGGCTGGTCATATTATTGCTGCCACAAGAAAATATCAGTGGGCCTACAACAAAGCTGCAAGCGGCAATATGGCTAATTTAGAGAATTTAGAGAAATTCCCATTGTTTAATTTTGAGAGTGGCAGAATGCAAAGAAATTTGAGGAAATATTAATTTAATAATTACTTTAATAATAGAAGTTGACAAAAGATTTGATAAGATAGTCGTTTAAAAGGATTTTAAGGATAGAGAATTTATACAGGTTTCGAAAAGTCTAAGGGATTAAGGCTGCATTAAAGAACCTAATGGCAATGCCACTAAAAGTATGGCAAAAAATGGAGTGAGGGAGAGCATTAAGAATAAAGCACAGCAGGATTCCGAGAAATATTGGGAAGTACAATATATTCTGCAGAAGTTGTTAGCTGTTGAACAGCTCTGAAATATCTTACCCTTATAGCCAGCGGAGCCACTTTAACCAGTTATGTTGAGAATCGTTAGAAGAAGGAGTGGGTAATGTTAGCTTATGAAGGTAGTATGAAGATAGATACTGTTGGATTGTTAAGCAGAATTGATGAAATTTCGAAGAGAAGGAGAATTTATTAAAAGTGTTTTGAGCAAAATGGATTTAATTCTCTCAAAATTTGATTTGAGGATATAGATTTCTTTCTACAGATATAGATTTCTATAGTTTCTTTATATTACCATAAATATTTTGGTGATCATATTAATAATCAATTAAAATTTATATTTTGCTGATTGTATTATATAGATTTATTATTAATGATTATAGTTCCATTATGGATATTTTTAATTTTTGCTTTGCGTGTAATTTTCTCTAAATTTTTTGTAAAATTGCATTTTAATATTTTTACCTTTACCTTTAAAATTTTGGGCCAAATTAGTTGAAAAAATTTTGGCCCATAATGGTAAATTTGGCCCAAAAAATTTCTTCAGGTTCAAGCGCAGTTGGCCGCTGCAAAAGCTGCTGCTGAAGAAGCTAGAAAGAAGGAAGAGGAATCCGCCGCAGCAGCAGCTGAAGAACAGCAGCAAGTGGATAAATCTAGACCAGTTAGTAGTAACCCAGTATCTGGAACTCCATGGTGCGTTGTGTGGACGGGTGACCATAAGGTATTTTGCGGTTTCATTGCGATTTCCTTTATCCATTTTCCATCATTTTATATTGTATCTAAATTTCATAGCCTTTCCTCAATACTGCTTTAGGTATTTTTCTATAATCCTTCAACTCGTACATCTGTATGGGAGCGCCCACCCGAACTTTATAACCGCCCAGATGTTGATTTGTTAGTATCTAAACCGCCGGAGGAGAAAAGTTAGTCTTTCATTTTTTTTCATTCATTCATTCAGTTAATTTATTTTAAATCAATTTGCTAATCGACTTTTTCTTTTAGAGCCAGCATTAGATGCTTCTAAAGAGCAAATTCGAAGCGATTCTGATAAAATGGAATTGGAGAGAGATGATGAAGAAAAGGTCGCTGATGAATCTGAAGAGGGAAGTGATGATGATTATCCGCCTGCTAAAAAAAGCAGAAAAGAACGAAAACTGTGAGTATAAGTATAAGATATAAATTTAAAAAATTTTAAAAATTTAAAATTTCGAACATATGCGTTCTTATTAATTAAATTTGAGAACCATTTTTACTTAATTTATTTACTTTTTGATACTAATTTATGTACTAAATTACTCAATTTATTTATTTAATTCACTAATTTTTGTGAATATTTTGTTTTTCTTTTTCTTTTTTGATTATTAGAGTCGAAATCCTGCTTTTTAAGTCCTATAATGACTGGATTCCCTTAATTTATTTTCTTTCGTTTTATTTTCTATGTTTTCTTTTGTATACCATCTGAATTCAGTGAAAAACGCATGGAGCAATTGGCGGCGAAGAAGGAAAAAGAAAGGCCACGACAAATGTTGGAAAAGCAAGTCGATCCAGCCATTCAAGCTGAATTACAAGCTCAAAAAGAACGTGAAGAAGTGATTTTCGCTATATATAATTCTCGAGTTTTTATTTATGATTAGAATTTAGACGTTTTGTCATTACATTGGCAATCTATTATCTAAAAAATCGAAAAATTTTCAACTTGTTCAAAAATATTTTTATTAAACAATTTCAGAAAATGTAAATGTATGTTAAAAGTCTTTTAGGTTCCGTTTGAACGTAGATTGCAAGAGTTTAAAGAAATGCTTATGGAGAAAAATGTCAGTGCAGGAAGTGTATGGGAAAAAGAGCTGTCGAAGATTGTTTTCGATAAACGCTACCTCCTTCTGAATGCGATTGAGCGCAAAGCGGTAATGCTTTAAGATATTGTTAATAGTAAAAGTATTTTTCTTCTCTTTTTTTTTCTTTTCTTTTTTTTCTTTTCTTTTCTTTGATGAGCAGGATTCGAATAATATTTTGTCCCCATTATATTTTATGTTATTTAAACGCTTTCTACTTTTATTCCATATTTTTCATATATAGGTACTTTCATTTTTAAGGCGTTTGAAGCTTATGTTCGTGAACGTACTGAAATTGAACGTGCAGAAAAAAAGAAGAGAGCAAAAGAGGCTCGTGAAAATTTCCGCAACCTTCTTGAAGAAGCGAAGCTTCATGGAAGGTTCTTTTTTTTGATTTTGAATATTGAAAAAATAATATTAAAGATGATATAATATAACATACCAATTTCTTAATATATAGGTCTTCATTTTCATCATTTGCTTCGAAGTATGGGAAAGATAGTCGTTTCAAAGGAGTGGAGAAAATGCGTGAAAAAGAAGATATTTTCAATGAATATGTTCAAGAATTAGAAAAAAAAGAAAAGGAAGAGCGGAAAGAAAAGAAAGAAAAAGTAAAGTAGTTCCATAAAAATTTGTTGTTTATTGGTTATATAAAAACATTGTAAGGTATAAAAGAAATTTCTTTCAGTTACGTCTTGACTTTATCTCTCTATTATCCGAGAAGAATTTGACGCGTCGCAGCAAATGGTCTTCTTTGAAAAAAATGATTGAAGATGATGATCGTTACAAAGCGATTGATCGATCTTCTACGCGTGAATCATTATTTCGTGAATATTTAGAAACCCTGCCCGAAGAAACGAATTCGGTTTGCTTTTCCCATTAAATTTTCATATTTTGACGGGAAAATTAAAATCTGGAATTTTTTCCTCAAATTTTCGTATTTCAAAAGGGAAGTAATTATTTTCATTTTTTTAGGATATTGAAGAGGAAAGTGATCGGCAAAAGCGAATGGCTGCTGAGGCAGCAATTCAGGAACGAAAAAAAGAAGTTGAAGCTGAACTTGGTGAGCAACTAAAAGAACGAAGCAAAGAACACGAGAAGCATAAATATCAAGAGCATGAGGATTCTTTCAAAGCATTGCTAGTAGATTTGGTAAGTCCATTTTGGTTAGAGTGCATCACAATATCTGTTACTTTTAATCCTCATCACTCATTTAAATTTCCATTTGAACTTTTGGTTTTTATTTTTAGAATTTTTAATCTTAATTTTAACCGTAATTTTAAAAAAATGTTTGTTTAAAAAATGAAAGGACAGCTATTTCTGTTCTATGGCCTGTTTTGATAATTAAAACTCTTTATTATATCTTGTTTTATCAATTAAAAAAATTGATACTACAAAATAATAACTACAAAATGGATTGAAGATATATTTTTTTTGATTTGCTTTATGAAATTGTATGTTAATGAAGCAGAATTTTGCATATTATTCAAAAGAAATTGAATTTATATGACCTGTAGAATTTAACTTAACTAACTATGCCACACTATTATAAGTACATGCGATCGAAAATATCTTACATGTTTGTGAGAAAAATTTCGAAATTATTTTTTTTCTATGATTTTCCAAGTAAAAATTAATTTTAAAATTAATTTTTATTAAATGAAGATGAATATATGACAATACAATATATGACAATATCTGCAGAATCTGAATGAAAGTCTGAAAATTTCACGTCATTATATAAAATTTTAAATTTTTCATTAGGTAACTTTTATTCATCAATAGCAATCATATTGTTCAACCGTTAAAGCAGAAAAATCATTCTATCTTTATATATAACATAACATATAGCTAATTAGAATTGCGAAAAACACCAACCATACTTGTATAATGAACAATAACACATTCACTTTCGATTCCTAGTAGAATTCTGGTAAGAAATACGAACTGGAAAATTATGTTCAGAAATCTAATTAAAAGGCGTTCCTAATATTATCATGAAAGTTAGCAACTGTCAATACGATACATTTCGAAAGTTTTAGCTTTTTTTGAAGATTTAGAAGGTTTTTCTTTTAAATTATGAAAATTTTTTAAAATTTTTATTATCATTCATTAAATTCTTTTTTTTTCTTAGATTAAATCATCTGATTATACGTGGCATGAAGCTCGTCGTATTTTGCGAAAAGATTCGCGTTATGAAAATTGTGATCTAATTGAGAAAGATGTAAAAGAAAGGCTATTTGATTCCCATATACAACATTTGGAGCGAAAAAGACGGGAAATCTTTTTCCAAGTTTGTTTTTTTAAATTTTATAATTTTTCTTAATAATTTTATCGAAAATTTTTTTTGTGGTGGTAGCTAGCAATAATTATTACATTTTCATTATTTTCAAAATTATTTGTTATATTATATTATATTTTATATATTATCATATTTTTTTTATAGCTGTTGAATGATACGAAAGATATTTCTCCTAGTTTGAAGTGGCGTGAAGCAAGGAAAATAATTGAGAAAGACGATCGATTTTCGAAATTTCCTATCGGTGATCGTGTCAGTTTTTCGTTTTAATTATATGCAATTTTTACATTTTGATTTTCGAATCTTCGAGTTTATTTTAAACAATTTTCAAGCGATTTTCAGAAAACAGAACGAGATTACAAGGACTGGACAGAAGAAAGAAGAGAAACTATTTTACGAGATTTTAAGGATTTGCTAAAAGAAACTAAAATAATTACATACAAATCCTTAAAAATTATTCAAGAAAACGAGCAGCATCTTCGTGACATACTTGCCGTTTTGGAAGTAACAGCATATTTTCATCTGTACTTTGGCTTAGATTCATTTTGAAAAATTCTAAACATTTTAACCATTAAAATTTTTCTATTAGTAATAGAATTCGGCTGTTTATTATCATCATAGGAATTTGAATTTTTATAATATTCTTAAAGTTCTTTAAATTTTTAGAACGACAAGAGGTATATTGTTTTGAACGATGCGCCCGTTGAACGAGAACGGCTACTTGAGCAATATCTGGAAGAATTGGATAAAAAGGGTCCACCGCCCCCACCCACTCAACAGGAAGCTGATCGGAGGCGAAAATGAAAAATCTCGTAAAATGAAAAATTTTGCTTGTTTAAAGTTTGTTTCATTTCTTAGAAAATACGAATAAATTTGATATTCCATATTCCGTCGCAGTTCTTTTCTTATCTTTCTTTCTTTTACCATCTTGTTTGCAGCGATCGATTGGCGTTTTAATAATATCTTATTTCCTTTACGAGCATGAACATTAAGGGCAAATGACGTTTGATCTGTCTTTTTAAAATTAATAGATTGTAAATAAGAAATAATTTTATGCTTTTTGAATCATTCCTGAGTTTTTACTTTTATTTACTATTTTCGATTGTGTTCTTTACATTTGTAAAATGGAATTTCGCATGAATTGTGCATGGAAATAAATTTTCATTGATTTTTCATTTCCATAATTGTAAATGTTTTATGGAAGTGTTAGAAAAAATAGGCTGAAAAATATATTAAGGATTTATCAACTATGATATGTATATGTTTAAGTCAACACATGTTTGTTTGTTTGGCATCGGCAAAAGTTTTTGCAGAGAGTTCGTATTCTTCGTTTGCGACCTGTCATCTTGGCATAAAAAATTCATCCTGCAAAAATAAGTGGTGTTTAGTACTGCAAAATGGTAGAATGTCTTGTTTTGGGTCGTTTTGTTATCTTTATTTCGGTCGTAGTAGTGCTGCGTTATTATACTATTATACTAGTAGTAAAGCGAACGAGGAATGGCGAGGATTGTTTGAACACATGTGACAAATTTCTTATAGTTAAAAGAAAAAGAAGATAAATGAAAAATTCAATTGGATTGCCTTATTCAAATCCTCATCGTTTAGAAACCAATTTCGTAAATTCCTTATGAAATAATTGTTGCGAAAACTTTTAGATTCTCTGTGAATCGGTAGCTCTTGTAGAACGAATGATTCTGATAAAACCAACAGCAATAACACAAAAACAATTGATTTTTGGGCAATCATTATTATTATGCTAAAATAAGTTTTATAAGGTAATATTAGCAAAACAAATTGCTGTTCGTCCCAAATTTTATCATTATATCACATTGGATTTTATCAGCAAGTTATAAGTTAAGTTATCATTGAAGACAAGATTTGCATTGAATTCTATAATGTGGTGGTCGTTATCACCAATCGTTTTCTTAATAACACAAAATGTTGTTTGATATATTGATAATGAAATAATGAGCATTGAGGAAATATATTTATTCTAAAACCTTGAAAATATATAATCTCTAATCTCGGCAGGTTAATTCTCATCATTTCTGATCAGATTTTCACAGCTTACCACAGCCTAGAATTAAAAGTTTTGCTGGAAAACCGGTTTAGCTATAAGCTATAAATATCGCTTGGATTTTTAACAATAATATCGGAGGCAAGAGTCTAATCCTTGCGCCTCACAATATCATATAATCTAAACTATTATTCACTCTCCTGTTCTGATAGAAGTGAACCTATTATTAAAAGTTTTATTTGGGTGATTACTGGAACTACAAATGGTCCCTCTATCTTTTTAAATGACTTTCCGGCAAACGAATTTGATTCCAACAATTACTGAAAACCGAAATGATGCAACAACAGATTTATATCGTAGTGGACACCACGTAATGGTGCAGCATATGAAATATTTTAACCACTTTTCGCCATCCCTAAAATTTCGTTAATATTTATAATTAAAATAGCCGTTATATTACTATATGACATAATGTTGAACAATTCATAGAAACGATTTAAATGAAATGATTTTTAAAAATATTTTTATTTTATAAATTTCATATTTGAATGAAAAGATTTTGAACGCTTAGGTGGACCAGCAATATATGGACTTAGACGATAGGAAAAGGAATGGCTTCTATTACTGTCGACGATGGCATCAGACCGCGCCGTCTTACCCTTCTAGCCACTGGAGCCGACTTAACCAGTAATGATGAGAGCTGTAAAAGAAGAATATTTGAATGAGCTTATAAAACATCTTTTTGTTTTTCAAAGAGCTCTCACCATTTCTGAGTAGAATGCACCGCTGACTTATTTATTAAACCAGGTCACCTCGAAAAACATTTGACGATAGAATTATAGGGTGAGGCAACAGTATTTTTTAGCGACAAATTTACTCTTATCTCTCCAGAAAATAGAATCGTCGCTCCGAAATGAGCGAAATCGACTCATGGAGGCAATTCCACCACCAAATGAAATAACTCATTATAACCAATTGTAATTGAAGATGAAAATATATCGACATTATTAATTTTTTTAAAATTTAAATAAACTTTGAAATTTCCATCTAATTAATTACAAATTAAGCAAAAAATTGCATTTGCCAACTAAATTGAAAACAATTGAACCAATCATTTCCAGAAAAAAAAATTTTTTTAAATGATTATGGAAGCATAACAAATAATAATAATAACAGTAAGTTATTTACAGATTTTATAAGCCAAATTTTTTTCGTGAAAACGAAAAAATAAATGAATAAATAATTTTTGCCTTCACGATTACACTGTTTAATAACTGGAAATGATAAATTTCTGTCGATGAATGAATGATAAATATTCACAAAAAATATTCACAGATATACTGATATACTGATAAATATTTATCAAAATAGAAAACTTTAAAAAAAAAAATTTGTGCGATATTTATCAGCCAGATGAATTATTATTCAAATCGAACTTCGAAGAATGTTGCTAGATGGTACTCTCTTCATGAGCCTATTACTTTTCATAATGGATCTTATATATTGGAACATATTTCAACTTTGAGTTTAACAATCGTTACAATAATAAGCAAATATTGCGACAAAAATAAATAGATTATTAAGGAGAATAAAAAATTTAAAGCCGAGAATTTTGAATTAGTTGGTTTCAATAGAAAAAATTGGAATCTGTGATCGAAAAGCGAAGAAAAGAATATATCTCGAAACAATGAAGCAGATAGGGAAGTGGTCTTAGCCGTTAGTCGATCTAATGAGGAAGGATCTAAAATTAAAAAAATATAAAATATAAAATTAACGAAAAGCATTCCGTATGGGGAATTATTCTTTATGAAATTATAAAATTAAACGAATAATTATGATAGTTATTTTAGCTCATTAACGAAAAAAATATTTTCATTTATAATGGATATAAGGAATTGAAAAATATGTTGAACATTAAAAATATTTTTTTGATGAATAGTTTAACATATCCGACTTTTAATTATTTTAATGATACCTAAATAAGAATAAATATTAATATTAATGTTAATGATAACGGTGATAAATTTATGAAAAATATTATTGCTACGATACGATAAATGCGCGCGATAAAAATGATATAATGAGCAAGGAGAAGAATAAATTTTGAATTTACTAATTCAACGAGTGAGTGAGTAATTAAAATAAAGCAGATCTGAAAATATATTCATTTTTCTATATCCAAAAGTAATAATTAGCTAGAATAGTATGAATAGTGGATTCGATGGACGACATAAAAGAAAATATGGATTCGATTAGTGCTACTTGATTAGAAGTTGAATGGTTAATTGTTGATCATCATCATCCTCTAGTAGGAATAAATTTAATTTAATTTAATTTAATTTAATAAATTTAATTTTAATTTAAGAAAAGAAAATCTGGTCGATTCAGTAAGCCAATGATTTCCTTTGGTAAAATAACTGACAAAAATTTCTTCTGATATTTTTTCTAAACAGCCTTACCACAAATGACGAGCGCTAACTGCTTACTTACTGTATTACTGCACGATGAAAATAAAACTATCGCTACATTGGATGGCTGCTGAAACTATCTTTATAATTCCAAAATGATTCATTTTACTAGAGATGAAGAAGATTTTTCCCTCTGTTTCTGCGTTTTCAATCGAGATTTTACATAAAACGACTGGATTTTTCTTACTAATCTAATTGTTTTGCTTATCAATGATAATAACTTTCATTATTTGATAAGAAATTGATAAACTTTTAGTTGGTAATTTGTAGAAATAATGAAATTATTTCAGCTAAAATTTAAAATAAAAATTAATTAAGAGTAGTGAAAAATAGCGAAAGAAGCAATCGTATTGCATGCTTTCTATGAAAAAAAAATATTCAAATGATGATTTTAATCAAATAAATGATGGACCAAAGCGAATCTTGAAAAGCGCATATTAATTTAATGAATATAATATGAAAAATTAAATGAATAAAATAAAGAATTTCTCATTAGTTAATGGACTGTACTTTATTAAGCAATCAGCAACCATCATGAAAGAATAAAGTAAGTAAGCATGAAGTAAAGTTACCGCCAATCTAAGGCTGTATATGCATTATATATTATATATATATATATATAATATATATATGTATTTAAGCTATTTAAAATATCCTAGGATTTTTTTAAAGAGTCCTCACCATTATAGATTATATTCGCTCCGCTGGTTCATCACACTTAGATAAATACACCGAAAAATCCTCTTGGCGATAGAAATATAGATAAGTCACTTGTCACGCGGTTTTGCTGACAAATTTGCTCCGACGGAGAACAGAACCTCAGCAATGGTTCCTTGAATTGAGCAACAACCCACTAAGCCATTCCATGCACCAAGCCTTAACCTTATGTATACAGCTAATAATCGAGCGAAGGAATATAGTTAAAAAATTCCATCTTGATGGTTTTGCTCGATTTTGAAATATTCCATCATAAATTATTAATCTTTTCGAGCATCGTATAAATGCGTAAAAAATTATAAAAAATAGGAAAAAAATGAAGTTGGCGGGTAAAATAGCATAGCTATTGTTGTGTTTAGTTGTATGTATTATTGAAAATGTGAGAATTTTTACGATAGTTTTAAAATAGATTTAAGCTAAAATATATAAAAATTTAAATTGGGTCGTCTAGTTCATTTGGTAATTTATAACTGATTCCAGATCGATTATTTAATTATTTATCATTTATCACTATGTGATAGCTACAAGTTTGCATTATTTTTATTCCGTCTGTTCAAATTTTAATAAAGTCGAATGGATGTTATTTCCCAATTTTCTATTAATTTTGGTCTTTTTTCGAGATGTTTAGCAAAATTCATTAAAAAATCTTTAGAAAAAATTCATTGCTTATATATCTTTCAAAAATTGGCTAAAATTTAATGTTGTGCCAAAAATATTCATTAAATGAATAAGGTATCGTTATTAATAATTAATGGTTGAAGGAGTAAGAAAATGCATAAATCCATAATTGAATTATCATTTAAAATTGTCCAATTACCGATTGAGGTACCCAATGATGACCTCACCTATACTTCTGTCGCGAAGAAACTCTCTGCACAGTCTAGTGCGATAAGTCAGGAACAAGTCTAGCCAGCAGTAGTGAATGCTCTTAAATTATCCAATGAGAAATTAATGGATTAAAATTAATAGTTAAATAATTAGATTTAAATCTGATCAAATTGAATTTTAAACTTCCTATAAATTTCTAGGTCGACTCATTTGTATTTCTATCACCACGCAAATCTTTTATTTTTTTTGAGATTTTCATTTAAATAATAAATAGTTCATCGAAATATTCAAATGAGTTATGATCTAGAAATGCTTAATTTTGTTAGACGATGGTGAAGAATCGTTATTTCGGATTTTTTGTCCGAAAGAATCGGATCTTTTCAAATCTTCAATGAAGGAGATAGGATGGTTTAGTGGGTTGTTGCTTAATTCGGGACATTGACACTAAAGTTCTATTCCCCCAGGAGTAAACCTGTCAAAAAATCCGGGTGATGCTCGCGGCTCACTTGTATCTATCTATCGCCTTTATCGCCAGGGATTCCCTGGCATATTTGTCCAGTGTGTCAAGTCAGCGGAGCGAGTTTAACCAGTAATGGTGAAATCTCTTAAAAAAAAATTTCAATGAACGAAAATTCTCTAACAAATAGATCGAGCTTATGGGGATAGAATCAAAATCAGTCGATTCTTATAATCATTTTATATAACTATTCCAACTGTATATTGAAAATAATTCGTGAAAAAAATGATATCGTAGAATAATAGAGATTTGATAAAACTAAATCATTTAAATGAATCGCTTAAATTTTCTTATCAGTAGTTGTTTATTATTAATTTTTTTCTTTTAATCTTCGCGTGGGTTTTTTTTTATAATTTAGCTAAATTTTTAGCAATTTTTCTACCATATTTGGCCAAAATAATTTTCTTTTTGAAATTTGTCTAGACTGAGCCAATCGATTTAAAGCCTTTTTTTTGATTTCGGGTTAAATTATAATTACAATATTGTTCAAAAATTGCTATCACAAAGTTAGCAATTAGCAGTCAATTTATTGGCTTCATTAGTTTGATTGACAAGAAATCTTTTTCGAGAATCGTTATTTTTTGGAAATATACATTTCAATTTATTTAGCCCAGAAGAGAATTTTTTGTTTAAGAGAAAAAAATTCAGCGCAACTATGAAAAAGTCGCCTATATCTCACGCTTTTTGGAATAGAACTGTAATACTTGGTGATCTAAGCCAGAAGGCTGGAGAACGATATGGCTCAATGTGTTGTTGTTCAGTTCAGAGTGCCGAATGGTGAGGTTCTAGTCCCTCCAGAAGTAAATAGTTATTGCGGGTTATGATGGCGATTCTATTTCTATTGTCAAGGGATATTTATCCAGTGCGATATGTCAGCGTAGGAAGTCTAACCAGCGGTGAGTGGTGAGAACTTCTTAAAAAGAAAAGCTAAAAGACCACAACAAAGTACAGCAAGTCGAGTAGATTCCATACATACATACTACAGCTATGATAATGATCAGATTAATCATAAATCGTGTATTATAATATTCTTCGTTTTAATCAAAAATTGAACTGTCAATTCATTTCAATTGTCAATTTGATAATTTTGATATGATCATATTTATAATAAATAAGAAAATTATAAATATAAAATAAAAAAATATAAAAATATAAAAAATATAAAATATAAAAAATAAATAATCGTGATAAGCTTGAAGAACATTTCGATACATCGCTGAATATAGTATATACATTATTAGAATATTAAATCGAAAAATATTTTTGCATCATTTCTAATCACTGTCGGCATTATCAATGCGAAAAATTCTTGCAAATTATTCAAATAATTTATCCAAACATATAATTACAATTTTGACAAATTTTGACAAATATATTAAATAATAATGATTATAATAAATGAACAATAAATAAACAATCATTTAATATATAATTAAAAATGAATATATATAATAAATTAGGTGAAATTTTCCCAGCTTAATCGCATAATTTTGAACGTAAAAAGAATATTTTGTCAGATTAAATAATATTAATATATTTGAAGAGGAAAAATTAATTTTTTTTTCAAAATTATTCTAATAAGATCTTAAATATATGCCTAAATTTTTACTATATTTAAAATAATTTCGATACTTTCGAAAATTTTTTTCAATATTTTTAATATTTGATATTTGAAAATTTTTTTTTTTGCAAATTTGCAATAATTAAATTTTTTTTTGTAAAATATTTACAAAATCAAATGTTGAAGAACCATTTGCCTTTGAACGTCAAATGATTGATAATATGTTTCGTCGTGATTCAAATTTTCATAAATTTTTCCACCATTTTGGCCAGGTATTTCAGTTGTAATCTAAATTATTTTTAGTTATTTTTTATTAAAATTAAAATTAGAAATTTCACTATGAATGAGAAATGATGAAACTTAGTTTGAGGGAAAGCTGTAATTAAAGTTAGCAATTTATTTCATTCTAATGTATCTTTTATGAGTATAAATATATATTATTTACTTTATTCGATCTCATATTGAATCAGATTGAAGAAATAATTTATTAACATCAAAATCATTACACAGATATTTAAAATCATTGAAATTTATTTCAAATTCAAATATTCAATGAAATTCAAATATTTTAAATGCTGACATTAAATTCTATAAATATTCATTAAGCCGACAATTACAAAAGTGTATATAATAAATTTTATATAATAAATAATAAAAGTGTATATAATAAATAAATGAATAGCATTATAATAAATCCACAAATCTAAAATAAAAATTATATTAAAATATAATATATTATATTGTAAATACAATATATTAAATATTAAGTATACTAAATAGAAATATATATTAAAATAAATACAATTAATAATTATATTAATAAATAAATATAGTTAATAATAATAATTAAAACATTAGAGTGATAATAAAAATATAAAGCGAGATAATAAATAAAAAGAAAAATAAACCTGGTTGCAAACGAGATAACCAACAAGTTGATCAGCCTTACTGTAAATCGAAAACACAAATCTTCCTTCATAATTTGCAATCGAATTTATATCCTTATAATTTCCCATTTTTTAATAAAAATATTTTAATTTATCGATAGTTTGGAAAATTTTTCTAGTTTTTTTACCTTTTATAAAAAAAAAAAAATTCGGAGAATTTATCATAGTTGATAGAAGAGATCATTTAAGAAATTCGATACGATTTAAATTAATATTAAATATGATTATTTTGCAATTTTCGTGCTTTTTTCTGTTATTTTAATTTGCACTATTTTATAATTTTTCTTTAATTTTGCGATTTTTGAATTGAATTAGCCGAAATAATCTTTTGCAAATAGTATTTAAAAAGCGAATAAATAACGTGGAAAAAATATATTTTATAAAATATTTTTTTTTAATAATAAAAATTTTGGCAAAAAATTTGGGCAAAAATGAAATAATAAATGGTATCTTACGATGGCGAACAATATAAGCGTTTTGACTTTGGTGGGAATAAAATCTGCCATTAAAGTTGAAATCAGAAAAATATTTTGGCTTCGCCAATAATTCTATCCTTAGACCAGTAACTGGTGATGTAGATTTTAGTGCATTATTAATGATCATTAATTTTTCTTAGAATTTTTCTTAAAACAATTACTTGTAAAAAGATGCTTTTAGCAGGGCACACACCAGAATACAGACCATTTACTGCATTGCATATTGGTAAAACGCTGAACATGCAGAGGGGTACACCTAATCTTCCAAGCTAAAATGAAAATTGGCTTTTTCTCAAATTCAACGAAATTGACTACTTAAATAGAAATTAAATGAAAATATGACTGACTTGAAGGGTTATTCCATGATTGGGACCAGCAATGCCAACGAATGTATCGATGAATCGAGTTAATGGTTGGCCAAGATTTTCTCTAGTATCAACACATTCACCTGAATTTACAATTTTTTAAAAATATCCAAGGTAAAAATTTATTTTTGCAATCTCAAAAAAAGCTGGGTGAGTGAACTCAAAAAAAACTCACCACCTAATATAGCTTTTCTTGCAATAGGTACACCTAACGAAAATGCAATAACATCTACAGCCCGTCCAGTATACAATCTTACAGCAACAATTAACGCTCTAATCTGTAATCAAGAAACTTTATCAATGATAAAAAAATTTCTTCCTAGAAAAAAGGTATAGCCTCTGTTGCAATTTACATTTAAGGGAAATGGTTTTCTACAAGTATTTCTATTTTGGTTTGCTCAAAGAGTATTACAATGAGATGTTATGACCAGAAGTTCATTTTGAGTAAAGAAGCACAAATGATTTCTACCAGCGATTCTAAGCAAATTTTTTATTGTGCTTTAGTTGAACTTTGAATATTATCTAAGTACGCCATGCAACAAAGGAATATTTCTTTTATCAACATAAATATCAGGTTTTATTCGCTAGAAATATTAAAATAAATGCATCGATAGTTAATGAAGTTCAATTGAATTAGATATATTCTGCGCAATTAAAAATCTTGGAAGAAGTAGATTAGCTTAGTTAGCTATTGTTCTCATTTCGGATTTTCGCACAGGATAAACCTCAGATTCTCATATAGAATCCTTATTAATCGACTCTCAGTAGGAGTAAATTTATCGTCCAAGGATCCGAGTGATATTGGCGGCTTACCTATATTTTTTGCCATAAGATGACTTCCTAGTAAAAAATGATAAGCGAAATGAACCTAATATTGAGAGCATTTAGAATAAAAAATTGAAAATTTGAAATATCATTTTTTGCATTTTGGATTTTAAAAAATTACAGCGGCATATTAATTAATTGATATCAATGTTATTTTTTTAAAGAGTCCTCAGCTCACCATCACTGATTAGATTCGCTCCGCTGGCTTTTCGTGCAAGGCAAATATGTTAAGGAATCCCTTGGCGATAGAAGCACAGGTTAATTTTGCCAACATCACCCGAATATCAATGTCATATTAGGCGTTAATTCATTAATACAATAGAACAATAACTAATCTATTTATCAGTGATTCATAAATAAATAAATGAATTGCAAATTATACGATTTTGATTCCAACCTACTGAAATTCGCATGGCTCCCGAAGAATCGCCTAAAGGTTCAGTGTTCTTTGGCCGAAAAATTTAATCAAATTTAATTTAATCTTAATAGTCTCACTATAGCCTATTAAACCAGAATCTACATATTAGAATAAGAGAAATAAATAAATAATAAAAAAATTATTCAATTTTTCAGGATACACAAATCTTATATAGAATCTTTTAATATTTATCAATCGACTATTTTTCGTTAAAACATACTTGTTTGACATATGAGCAATGCATTGAATAATGAACCCATTGGAGCGGATTTCCTTGAGATCCATTTGCATAAGTGGTACCATATAACTCTGACCATTTATAACCGTTGGAACTAAAAGGCTTCCTTCAAAAATATTCATTAATTTTCAAAAAATTTTAAATGAAAAATTAAAAAAGAAAAAAAAGAAAAAAGAAAGAAAATTTTAAGCGATCATTAAAAAATTGTTAAATATATTTCTCGACGGATAAATTTGAAGATTGCCACAAATACAATGTATACATATTTTCTGGATTTTCATATAATAAAATAAATATATGAAAACAAAAAATTAATCAATTATTTTTGAATAAAAATGAACTAGAAATGAGTAGCAGCGGCAAGTGCTTTATCATGAGCTCGATCTGATACACCATGCACAAATACGACTGGTTGATGGATTAAATTCTCATGTCTTGTTGATTTGCCACCAAATGATCCATAGTGTCCAAGATCTGCTCTAAATAAAATAGCATATAACAATAATAATAATATAATAAACAATTTTTTTCTAAGAAACAGAAACAGAAAATCAGACAAATTTTGCCAGAGCCACATGGTGATAAAAATTTAGATAAATCACTACCACCATACTGATTTTTGAAAGACAGGTTCACTCCTATCGAATATAGATCCTCCCTCAGCATTCTCCGAAATGAAAACAATCCACTGACCCATTTTACGGATAAAAAAGCTTCCTCTAAACGGAAGTCTCATGTCAATAAGTTTTATTTATTTTGTTTTATTGAGCTGAATATTGTCGAATGTTGCAGGAAATAATAAAAAATAATATAGTAATAAATGATAAAATAGCAGGATTGTTAACAGGAAAAAATAATAAAAGCAATAATAATAACAATGATAATAATAACATCAATAATAATAAATAATAATAAATAGTAACACTGATAATATAATAGTAATGATTTCTAATAATAATAGTAATGATAACAATAATAATAATATAATAATAATAATGAAAATTTGATTTGCTAAGTGGCTTCATTTCTATTTTTATTTTATTTATTTTGATTTTAAACATTTAACTATTTAATATTTATCAAAAATATTTTTATTACTAAAATTTTTTTCAGTAAAACTCAATAAATGCAAGTTTTAAATGAATGAATAAATAAATAATGAATTTTTTAGTAAATATTAGCAGTCTGGGATTGGCGTCATTTCCTTCCTATACCTTCAGCTTCATAAGAAAAAGCCAGTCGTATTAAAAAATTCCTGTAATACTTCAACTGCATTTTTAAAAACCCTTCCGTTACTATTATTGTCAACATACTAATTATTATCATTATCATTGTTGTTATCACTATAATTATCATTATCATTAGCCTTTAAATCAAAAATAAAAAATACAAATTTACCGATTTAAAACTTTTTGAACGTCTTCGCCATATCGTTCAACTAACCAAAAATTGAAATCATCTGTAAAATAGGCGACAACATTTGTTGCAGTCAACTGTAGCAATAAAATTTGTTGGATAATTGCTGTCATTAAAAAACTTTTTCTGTAAGTAAGGTTTTTTTTCTAAGTTATCATTAAAAATTCTAATAATAGCATTGTTTATATTAATAATTAAGAAGGCTTTTTCGCTATAAAACCACACCAGAGGATTCGAAGATAACGGAAGATCACACCAGCAGAAAAAAAGATTTCACCATAAATGATAGTTTTTTTTTCCCAAGTAAGGATCGGCGAATAATAACTTAGTTTATCATGCTGGATTAAAAAAAGGCTTAGTTTTTGCCTCCGATAGATTTGGTAAACCACTTTTTCTTCTATCACCAAATGTCTTCGTGGTAAAAAAAAAAAAACCAGCGGAGCGAACCTTACCAGAAACGGAATATTTTAATTTTCTTCGGCAAGGAGCTCAACAAAATTATAATTGGAAAAGAAAATTAATGAAGAAATGACAACAGAAAATACTCAAAAATTTATAAAATTATTATTCGTTTTTATTCATTAAATATTTATTAGTTTTTTATGAATGAAATAAAAATAATAAATGCACTTAGCAGGTTTCAAACGATTTATTTATAGTTTACGACGAACAGAAATATTTCTCTAAATGGCAATTAAATTTAATCAGTTTAAATAGCCCTTCGAAGAAAAATGCAAACACATATATATGAGCCGATTTGTTCAAAATTTATAAAAAATTAGGAAAATTTTCCAGAACTATTTGAATTTTTCATGTGATTAATCGGCAAATAATATTGTTCATTTATTGATAATGAATCATAGTAAATGAGAATTATCGTTGTTAAAATGCGAAATAAATTACAAAGGTGATAAATATAAATTGTTCATATTGTTTTTGTTTTAATGGCGATCTCGACCTATTCTAAATTTCATCGCGGAAGATACTGATCATTTCATTTTCCCATAATTTTTTTCATTCGAACTATTGACCATTGAAATAAATCACTGTTAAATATGAGAATGCTTTGCTTTACTGTGATACTCATCGAGGTTCCAAAGTTAGGCTGAATAGAATTATCTGTGAAATTTTTTAAAACAAATTTTCGTGAATTTTTGTGAATTTTAAATTATCTTCGCTAACACTATTTTATTATAAATTATATTTAATACTTCCTTTATATTTAACACAACATTATAAAATATTCAGTCTTGTAAAACATTCTATATTTCCCTTTTATCGCTCGCATGTAGAAGAGATTTTCTATTCAGAGAGTGGTACCATAGGATATGCCATTTGCTATTTATGCTTCTTTATCTTTTATTGTACGAAAGTTTTCCTATGATGGTTTTTAGACAAAACAAATAAATAAATAAATTTTATAGTTTTGAATTTATAAAACGTGTTTTTACAAAAAGAATGAGATTGATCATAAAAAATATTCTAATATTCTATTCATAGTTTAAGTAAAAACATTTGATGATAATTTAAAATTTTTATATTTTATACATTAAAAATACGAATAGGGCAATAAAATCCTTTAATGTATATACTAAAGCATAATAAATAATAATAAAATAATTCGGAAAATATTTAGAATGATTTAAAGAAATTAATAAAACATTTGGAAGGAATAATTTAGGGAAAAACCGGTTGGCGGTCATTTAGGCGGTCATTGAATGATTCGAATCAATTCAGTCACTATATTTCTTTGCAAACTATGTTGCGATAAATCAATCCCGGATGAAAGTATTTGATAATGCACCGGAAAAAAAAGTTCTCATAATTAAGCACTATTAATTGCTCAATATAGAGTATTTATGAGTAATGGAAGAAAAGATTTTCTATTCAGAGAGTGGTACCATAGGATATGTCCTGTTCTCTTGTTTCATAACCAGTATTCTATTCTTGTCGATCATGAGCATGACATGAATATCCTTTATGGAAATGTTGGAATAGAATTGAAAAATTTTTTTATTTACAAATTTTTATTTATATTTTTTATTTTCATATTTTTATTATTTCATATTTTTAAAAATTTATAGAAAAAATACTGATAATTCGATAAAATGTTATATTATGGTAATAATAGCTATTTATTACTATAGAATAACTAAAAAACTTGGCTGATAATAGAAATATCTTATCAAATATCTCAAAAATTTCATTTAGATTCAAATTAAATTCATGTGCAGCCAAATTCAGCAGCAAATTTTCAAAATATAGATTGATTACCCAAAAATGATCCGAATTTAAGCACCATTCTTAAGAAAATAATTTTTTTAAAAGAGTTCTCACCATCATTGGTTAAATTCGCACTGGACAAATATGCCAGGGAGTCCATTGGCAATAGAAGTACGAGTGAGTCGCTAGCATAACCCAGTACAGGTTTACTCCTGCGGGGAATCGAATAGAAAACCTCAGTACAACCTCAGTACAGTACAATAGGAAACCGCACTCCGAATTGAGCAACAACCCATTGAGCCATTCTATCCCCAAATACACACTTTAGAAAATATATACTCCTCTAGAGTTTTGATGGTTCATTGCTCATTTGAGTCTAAGGAAAATAAGAAAATAAAAGAAAATAAATATGAAGATGCAATGGTTCTGTTTCGAAGACGGTAGATCCTATTGCCGAATACGGAAATCCACACTATTGAACTTTAACCTTTACTAAAAAAAAAATGAACGCATAAATCGTTCAATGACATCGGCTTATAACACTATTGGTTATTGGTTGACGTGACTGCTCTAGTTTGTCGCATTAGACAAATATGCTTAACGAATTGCTTAGCGATAGAAGTGCACCAAAGTGAATCGTCGAACCGATTGGCTTAAAATAGTGGAAAAAATGAATGAATTTTTGAGGCAAATTGTACAAAAATTATTTTATCGAATTGAAATTTTTATTAAATTTATTAATTTTAAAACTAAAATTAATTAAAATTTATTTTCACAACTTGATTTATTGTTTTATTATTATTATTTTTTCTTTTTTTTCTTTTTATCTGAATTTTTTATTTTGTTTTATTTAAATAATTCTTTAATAAAATTGCATATAACGATGGATACAGAATCGATGAATAGCCGCCGAGATTCAAAGAGTAATGAATAAAATCCAAATTAATCAACCTTGGAACCTATTCGATTAGCATAAGTGCTAAAAAGCAATTTCGCAAAAATCGTTTTTGTTGAACGAAAACGATATTCACCGAAATTTTTTATTTTAAAAATTCTGAGCTGTTAAAGCTAAATTCTTTGTCTTAAAACGATTTTTTGAAATTGGATTTTCGCCAAATTTTCAATTCCTTATTTTTATATTTTTATTTGACCTGAAATCCGGTGTTCGGTCCACTATTTCGTACTGAAGATGGTTTTTCGATGTTTCGAATTCTTTTTTTTTGAATATTTTTATTGTTTTAATTTTTATTTCCTATCTTAATTAAATGTCGACTTTTATCAATTTTCGATCAATTTTATCAATTTCGAGTTTTCTAAAAAATTTAGAAATTATATAAAGATATTTAATTCATTTAAGTCGGTGGTCGTCAGACTGGTGACTAAGGATCTATGGCGATTCTCAGGTGGTGCGTGGCAACCTAATTCGAGTTTTATATATTCTTATTCTATTTGAATGGTAACAAATAATTTTTAATTATTTTATTACATTTGTTCAAATCTCTTAGTTTTTGAAAAATTTAACAAATATTTCACGAATTTAAAACTTGAAAATGTGATTACGGATTCGTAGGTGTTCTCTTTAGAGGATAAAATAATTTTGTTTGATGACCACTGCTTTAAAAGGATTCAATGAAAAAAAAAAAGAAATTTCAAAGCAAAATTTTGGAAGTGAAGCATTTCAAATATATTTGAATATTTTTTCCGTTTTTTATAGTGGAAATCTTTCATTTTACAGTATTTTTATTTTTATTAAAAGAAAATAATTTTCAGCTTGATGAATTGAAAGGAAATACTCGCGGAGTTTCATGGATATTCCGATAATTTTCGTGAAGAAACTTTCACGACTAATTTGGTTAGTTTATTTTCGTTTATTTTTTTCAACCTTTTTCCATATAAAAAGAATAAATATTTTTCTTTTTTTTCTTTATTAGTGAGAATAATTTTTTATAATAATTTGGCTCGATCCATTCGCTGTAAATTTGAAATATTTCCTATCGATCCGGCCTGAAAATAATTGAAGCCATTTTTTTCTCAGCCTTATATATTGCTAAGTTCTCCTTGTGTTCAAAATGTCTTCATTATGTCTTCATTATGTTTTATTAAATTTAGTTTTTTTTAGAGACATAAATCAGTTTATTTGCTTCTTATTTCGAAATTTTTTTTATTTTTTATGTAAAAAATGAATTTTTTAATAAATTTTCATTTAAAACATCATATTTCATGGAAACTTCTCAGGATTTTTTTTGTTTCTTAATTCGAAACAAAAAAATTCATTTTGAAATTTTGAAATTTTTGAAAAATTCGAAATTTTTTTGCCAATTTTTATAATGGATTTTTTAAATCAATACATAATTTAACCAATTTGGATTTCTATAATTCCTCCAGAATTGAGAATAATCTCTCTCTAAAATAAAAAGACATGTCAATTTTAAAGTTATTTTTCATTAATTTTATAAATTATGTCCTGAATTCCCTCTTTTTTTTGTTTTGTTTCATTTGTCAAAAATAATAATAAAAATAAATATAAAAATAAAGTCTTTATTTTCATTATTTTTTAACTTTTAAATATTCAAAGTTATTATTTTGTCTTTCGTTCGTTTAGTTGCTGTATTTCTATTTTTTAATTAGAATTTCGAAAATGTTTTTTAAAAGCATTTTTCTATATTCTTTTTTTATCTTTTCATCAGAAAAGGTATTATTTTTATTTCTTAAATAATTTTAATTCGTTGATAGAAACGTCGAAAAATCTTTTCAGATAGTTTTATTCAACTAAAAAAGTTTTGTTCGATTCGATTGTTTTTTTGTTGATTAACAATGATATTTAATAATCATTTTCAAAGTGCATTTTCTTTCTTGATTATTTGTTCATTTGTTTGTTCTGTAAATAAATTTCATATTTTTATTTAGCCAATAGTGCGAATAATTTTATTTTTGTTTCTTTGCTAACTACAAGATGCTTTTAAACTTGGTGAGGGTAAGCGTTCAGCGATAAACGGCATAAACTGCCACTTAGAAAAAATTTCAGTTTTATTCTTAAGTAAAGATGTTGAGATTTTAGTTATAAAATATGTGTATTTGAGTGGAGTTCTTAATCAATATGAAAATGCATGTGATTGAGGTCATTTCCTTGCATCTCGTTTTTATTAATTCTACAAGTTTTTATTTTATTACTATTTTGAAAATTGATTCATAATGTATGCTTCAAAAAAAGGAACAATTTGATTTCGATTTCGGAAAATATATCAGTAATAGGCGATCGATTTCAATTGGAAAACGATGATATTGAAATAATTGGGTAATTTCGAAATAATTTTGAAATTATGATAAAAAAGAAAGAAGCTAGCTTTCTCATTTTTCACAATACCGAATACAGAAAGGAAACAGGTCAATGGATGGAAAACTGTAATCGCTTTATAATAAAATAAATGAAAGAGAATAGGTTAATGAAGATAGTTATGAGGAAGATGTTGAAGGAAATATTTTTTTCAATAGGAAATAGATAGATAATAATAAAGGATAAAATTTGCAACAATTTCCTTGAAATCAGTTGGAATTTTATTGAAGGAGATTGAATAGACCGTAATAAATAACCATAATTCATTAGTTAAATAAAGCAGTTTAAAATGATGAATTTTAAGTAATAATTTTCCTTATAATAACACTAAGTCGTTTTACCAGAGGGTGAATTGAAGTGAATGATTGGAAAGATGAGTTGCCATTACTATCTATATTTCCCTTTTTAAAAAAATAACCTCGAAATATAAAAAGAAATATAAATAAAAAAACTATATCTATAACTACATATATATATATTTTCTTTACAAATATGACTCGATCTTTTAATTACAAGGTTTACTTCCCTTAGCGAGTAATGAGTTTACTAGTAATCGGCTATTTTGCAGCCAGATGAAATAATTATATTACGGTTAATTAAAAGCGACTCTAGCCCATGATTTGTATAATCCATATTTTTTCCTCTCCCAGCACTTCACACCGTATTTGATTTAATTGGCGAATTAGCGAAGGATTTTGGAAAATGAAATCAATGATTCACATATATTTTCTCGAATTTCTCGAAGTTTATGGTAAAATCTTGCAGAGCAGAAATATTTGCCGCCATTTATTAATTAATATCTTCTTCGAAGTTATCTGTTTATATTCATTAATCTCCTATCATTATCATCGCTTATCATTAACCATTGCTTTCTTTTACCTTGACTGCCATGCTTCTTAAGTTGATTTTAGCTGATTGTTAGATCCTCTCGCCATTAAATCATTTGAGAGTCTCGATTAACTGTCTGGGTTTTAATGGATTTATTTCGATTAAACGAAAGAAAATATTTGCCATCAACTGAACTAATCATGTTACTCAATCACCGCACGTTTAATAACATTCCTTATCACAATCTTTTTTTTGTATTAGATCTACTATTCCATATCACTTTTCCCTTTTCGCTTTGTATTAACAGTTTTTATCAGGTTTTCCTCTTAAATATATTTCGATCTTTATTTATAGTGCATGTTCATGCGTGTGTGTATGTGTATGTGATGTGTAAAGTCCAACCTCTCTTTAAAGCCAAATTACGGTAATGAAAAACTTTTAACCATTCATTTCATTACATTTGCTACAGTAATGTGGTGAATAATAACAAAAAGGCGGAGCGTATTTTGTCTCTATGGTAACGATATAAATTGAAAATAAAAATAATAAAAATGGAACAAAATCTTTGATGAATTCCATGGTGATTATTACCTTCGTAACCGTTTCTATGGTTAAATATTTATTATTATTTATTATTTTATTGATTTTTAAATATTTTTTTGAAATTTTTTGTAATTATAATTCAATAAAAAATAAAAAATTTAAACATTTCTTATTATATAATAAAATAATTGAATTTTTGATAATTTATGATTCAAATAAAATTTTTATTTTAATTATTTTATTTTATTTTAAAAATTTTTATTATTAAATTTTCTAGTCAAAAAAATTTTTTTTATACAATATCCTATGAATTTTTTTTTTATGATAGTGGTTTTGGATTGGGATAATTTTCATACATTTCTACTTCGGTTATGAATAAATATAAACCACATGCAGTAGATTAAGAATTAACGACATGTGATAGGATTAATTTCTAAAATCATGAAAATCGAAGTTGGCTTTTAGAGATCTCTTTTGTTAAATATATGTCTAAAGAATCTGCGGGTTAAAACCACTAATGGTCAATGGAGCCAACAAATCAGGAACTTTCTCTGATATTATGAAAATAAAATTTATGGGATAATTTCACAAAATATTTTTGAATGAAGACAATTTTGCTATAAAAATTTATAACTGCATATATACACAGATATCACCTAATGCTTTTATCAAATTTTTTTCTAAGAATGATCGCTATTTCTGGTATGACTCGGTCATTGGCTTGTTCTGTCAGATAAATTTTTGCCTAGCAATATATATATATATATTTATAGCCTATACAGCGAAATTCTAGATTTATATAAAATTCTAATTTTTAAATGCAGATATTTTTAATTAAACCATAAATAAGAGCAAGGTTTACTTAGAATTTATTATGATATTTATAATATTTATTATTATTTCAAAAATTGCTATAAATTTTTTAAAATGGGTTTTTGAGAAATATATCCATTGATCCACCGTAATTCTTTTTAACTGAAATGATATGTTTCGCATTAAATTATATTTTATTATCCAAAATCATATAATTGACCTATTAATAATTAGGTAATCTATTAGTAATTTGGCTAATGCAAAAAAGTAGTTTTGCAAATATCGAAGAATTAATTGGATGTACCAATGCTTATGTAATTATTTCTCTTTTCAACACATATTGAAAATTATAAAAAATTACAATAATAATGAAAGTAACAATACGTGAAGTTAGTTATTTATATATATTATTATTAATATTTATTTATTATTATAATTATTATTTATATTTATATAAGCAAATCATCTCGACACTGAAATATTGTGAATATTATCATTTGTATTGCCAAAATTTGTTCGGCATTATTTAGTGATAAATTTAGATCTGTTATAATCCAAATTAAAATATCATTTGTGAACTTTATATGTGAAACGAATGCTGTTTTATTTCCATTGCATAATCAATATGAAATTCTAATATTTGGAATTATAATTGTATACTTAAAAAATTATGTGGTTATTAAAATCATAAAAATTTTATAATTATAATAATTTTAAAAATTCTACAAAATTATAAAATTTATAAAATTACAAAATTTTCTAATGGAATCTTGCTTAATTATTATTATTTTAAAATTTATTTTGCTTAATATTAATCTCGCTTATAAATTTTATCGAAATTTTGAATTTTTTGGCAAAAATTGAAAAGAATTATAATTTTATGTTTCATTCATTCATTGCATTGATTAGAATAACATTAGGAGGAAAAGAAAATAATGGTTTTGAATCATGAAATATGATTGCATGCCAAGAACAGTAATGATTTTCTTTGTAACATAATATTCGTTTTTTTTCAAATTAGCAATTTTTTCTTGATTTTCAGTTTAGCGAAAAATGAAATCAACAAATCGGCGTTCAAATAATAGTAATTTAATAAATCAAGCAGTAATACCGTCAACATCGAATGCTGCACAACCACAACCTCAACAACAACCTATTCAGCCAGTTAATTTTATGGCTTTTTTAATTGAACCTATTTATTAAGAGTCTTTTAATAAATTTAAATTTATTACAATAATCGTTTTATTAGTAAGCGCTATTAGCAAATAAAAATTATTCGCTATCTGATCGATTACCTATTAAATTTATTTTTTCAAATTTTGCAGAAAACAACACAAGTAATATTTTTGCAAAAAAATCCAAAATTATTTGTTTCAAAAAATGGCGAAACACTTCAGCAAATTCTTTTAACACAACCAACAACAACATTAGCTGTTAGTGGTTAGTTTTTATTTTGTTTTTTAAAATTTTTTTTATATTTTTTAAAATAATATTTCCAATAATATTTTAAATAATTTCAAAGAAATAATTAATTTCTATTTTAAATAGTTCTTTTTTGAATAAGAAATAAATTTGTGAATAAAAAACAAAAATCGTTTCAAAAATTTTTGTCATTTCATGAATTCAGTGATTAGTTTTATTGTTAAGAAGAGAATTCGAATGAATTATTTGCTAATTTCCTCCTAATTAGTTATGATAAAACTTGAAAAAATGAATAAATGCATTATAAATGAAGATCGGTGGGCAGTATTTGTTTCTACCATCCCCGCCCATCATTTCATTTAATTTTTCCATCCAATTTTTTGGGAAAAAAACGAATTTTCTTTATTTATTTATGTTTCCGTTTTAAAAAAGGCACGGATTTTATATGGATTTTTACCAAAAATCATTTTTTGGTTTACCATTTCGTACAAATTATTATAATAGTAATGGTTGGTTTCGTTTTTTTGTTTTTTGTCCTTTTTCCTTACACACTAATTCTTATAAAATGGTACAGATCGTAAAGAAAAGCACCTTATTATGATCCAAAATCTATCTATCTATCGAGTATTCAACATGTAAATAGATAGTATATCTTGTTATTACTAAATGTCGCTGTCCTATGCTCTATCGTAAGCAGACGAATATTCTCCGTTTCAATATGCACAAAATATCAAATAATTCATCATCAGGAGGTATCTTGTAGAAAATACTTTTTTAGTATCGGATGCAAATTTGCGCAACCATCTTGCAGTTGGAGGAGGGGGAAGTGGTGGCAGTGGTGGCAATGGTGGAAGTACAACAACAGACAGTTTAGTAGATTCGGTTAATTCAACAGATCTGTTTCAACAGCAGCAAGTCTCGAATGATGAAGGAACATCGTCAGTCACGTACGTTACTAATACAAACGGTCTGACATCAACTGATAATAGTTTTATTAACAACGATACATCAGTAACAAATGATACTACCAATAATCATGGTACCGCTGTTGGTAGTGGAAATAGTACTACTGTTGGTGGTTCTATTAATGGGCGTAATGATAATCAACAACAGATCACCAACATGGATATATATTCTATTCCACAACAACATATCAATACAGTGTATATTATTATTATTTGCACAATTGGTGATTAGTATTGGTGATGCACTTGGTCGTTTTGATGGTTCTTGCACCCTTTTTAGATCACGCAATAGTTTTTATAATCTTTATCTATGCTCATGGAATTGAAATTATTAAGTTATCATTCCTAACAAATCTATGACTTTTTTTTTATAGATAATAATTTCTTTAATTTTCCCATAGAATTGAAAGAGAAGAAAGTTGGTGGGGTTAAGAAATATAAGCAAAGTGTGAAACATTCAGGATTTAATAAAAATAGCCTGAGATTTAAGATTTAAAAAGCATGCAAATGATTAACAAAGTGATTTTTTATAACAATTAATCCTTTCGATTACAATAGATGATGGTGATAATAATCATAACGATGTTATTATATAGGAACAATTAATAAATACAGGGGATGGAAAATTATTTTTTGCGTTTAGAATGAAAAAGACGACATATGTTTGACGGGAAAATTGAGAAAAATGATAATTTATATTGCGTAAACAGGCAATATACGATGTTATTCGATTATTTACACGAAAAGGAATTTTTTAAGATTTTTAAAATTTTTTTTTAATAAAAATAATTATATTTTTCGATATTCAGTGTTTTCGATATTTAACGAGGTAGGAATAGAGTGGTTACGCGGTTTCTTGAAATCATTTTTGCATGTCGACAACTTGGGTTCTGTTCCCAGCAAAAATAGACCCTTCTTTCAAAATTCTGCAGACTCGGGCTTCTATCATCATATGAGATTCCCTTGCAAACATTTGTTCGACAAGCCAGCGAAGTGAATTTAGCCAGAAATAATGAAAAAAAAAGCTCGGGATATTATTAATAGATTATATGAAAAAATTCTCAAAAACGGAAAAAATTCTTGAAAATAGAAAAAATAGTCATTTTTTGATTTTAATTCTTAATTTAAATTGGTCATATAAAATTATCCTTTTTTTTAAATTAAATAATTCGGAAACAATTTATTATTTAGCTTTTTATAATAATAAAAATAATAATTATATAAGTTGATTTGGCCTATGGTTTTATTTTTGAAGATTTAATAAATAGAATGTATAAGAATGGACAAGAATGGACTATGACTAGTCGTATATCTGAAAAGAGTTGTCTAGGAGACGATATCTTATTTATACGTATGTATATAAATATATTTGGTTGCCTTGCCGATTTGCGACCCCTAATCATTGAATCATAGTTATGTTGTTAGCTACAACACCTTAGTTACCTGCTACATTTTTTAGCATTTTCTAATTCAACTAGAAAAATAAGATTGGGTAAGAAAAGTTAGAAAAATGAGTTAAGTTTGTGAAAAATTAAGTTTTATCAGAACTGTTCATATTATCCGGCAAAATTAGTTAATTAGTCCTTAATACTGAATATTAGGGAAATTATAGATACTACCTTAGAGAAAGATTATCGCTGGATAAAACGCTTCAGATAGCGAATCTGCTGGAGGCTTATCAGTTTTAACTAAAGGACATCATTTATATGAACTTTCTTTGAATATAAAAATATTATCTAAGCTTTCGATTCGAGTATCTCGTTAATTAAATGGATTAATAGAGTAAAATTGAAATTGACGATTGAGTGAATTAATTAATGGTTTTCATGGCGAAGCAAATATTTAAATTCACTACGAGACGATGGCCTTATTAGGAATAAGTAAAAAGATAGTACAGTTGATGATTTTAAGATAGCCATAAGTCTAAGGTAATAAATTAACGTTTAGCTAACTCTAAGGTGATATAACTATTGATATGAAAAATTTGGGATCTTATAACTATGCATACCCTATTCTAATTTGATATAACCATGGATAGCCGGCTCTAAGGCAACATAACCATAGAAATCCGAGGCAGTCAAACTATTATAACCATGGATATAAACTGGAAGTTTTTAATCGCCATGTTATTTCGGTTATTTCGCTTCTATGAGCACCAAGTACCACGATTTTATTTCTTATTTCTTTAAGAAAATTTGTTATTAAAAGGTGAAGTCGAGGCTAATACTAGCCAATCCACTTGTATTCCTGTATTCTAAGTAAACTTTTTTATGCGAACGAATCATATTTTAGTAATCAATTTGCATTAGCTAAGCGAGAAATAGTGAGTGTTTTTAGAAAAATAAGATAAGAAATCAAAATATATCAAAAAAAATATGCGAAAAATATTTTGAAATTCGAAAATTAAATTGATAAAATTTCGATTTTTTTTTGTTTTTTTGATTTAACGAAAGAGAGAGACGAGTATTATTTTGAAAATAATTTTTTTAAGAATAAGAATTTTAATTTTAAGAAAAAGAATTTTTTAAGAATTAAATTTTTTAATATTTTTTAAATTTTAAATTTTAAATAAAATTTTAAATTTTAAATAAAATTTTAAATTTTAAATAAATTTTAAATAAAAATTTTTTGTAATATTGAATGAAAAATATAGAAAATATAATGCATATAATGGGAAATCATTAAAGCAGGTGTTAGCAATTTATTTCGGTTTTCTTTTAATATTTCCGTTCACCTGCTGGCTATTACTGCTCATTTACTAACCCTCATTACTACCTTCTTCTTTGATTGTTACTAATCATTATTCTCATTTTAATCATTTATTTCTAAGAAAAAATTAAAAAAAAAGAATAGTTAATTATCAAATAGTTTCTCGAAATAGTTTTCTAGAAAAAAAAAGTTTCAATGTGATCGCTATAAATTACTTAAATATGTAAAAGAAAATAAATAATCGAAGCATGTAAATGTGGATAAATGACGATTTAATTATTACTTATCACGGTAACAGATGTTCATAATTGATTATTTCTTCAAAAATATTTCTTATAAGATAAAGTGTATAATGTATTTTTTTTGTATATTCCGAGTTAAACAAATTTTTCATTCATTAATTTAATCGAATTAATTGATTTAACTGATAAAGATAACGATTTTTAAGTGATAACATGCTTCTCAAGTAAAAAATCTATATTTGTTGTACTCATTACGAAGGCAAAAATTTAATAAAAATTCTTGTTGAATAACTGTAATCACTGTAAATAATTGATTAATAATAATCTAGATTTTTTTTTTTTTTTTAGAGCCTTCATCATTTGATTAGATTTGCTGGCTTATTTATCACATTATTGAAATATACCAAGGAAATATACACCTTGGCAATAGAAGTATAGGTGAGTCGCCAGCATTACCCGAATGATAACTTAATAAGGTCATATATAACTTATCAAAAGCCCAATAAATCGTCATCGAAAAAATAGATTAATTCAGTCAATTTTTAATTCACTGATATGGATAATATTTATTATTTATTCTATTTGTGACACTGTTTTTTTTTCAATTTTTGCATGTGCATAAGTAGTTTAGTTTTTTTTTTCAAAAAGATGGAAAATTTTCTTTTTTTTTTCAGGAATGCAACCTATGTATACACAACTGAATATCCGCCATATTATCAGGTAATTTTTTTAAAATTTTTATCGTTATTTTCCTCGAAATTCTTTGATAATTAATGATTTAATAACAGCGGAAATTCGTTTATTTGTTTTTTTCGATGAACGATAAATTTAATTTCAGTATCAAGCGCTTCATTCACCAAATCAACAGACTTATATAATTCAACAAGAGAATTCACCGAATTCAATTGACGATGAATCGAGTGCACAACTCGGACATACTACACGTGCCTCACCTGCTACGGTAGATGTTTTTTTTCCTCTATAGAAAATAGGAAAACGAATTTTATTTCGATTTCCATGGAAATAGATTGTTTCATTTTTTATTATTATTATTATTTGAAAATTGAGAAGTGATTTAGTGAATTTAGGATATTTCAGAAATTTTTACGAGTGATTTTTGGTTTTTTTTAATAAAAAAACATAAGGAAAAAAATTTTTTTCATATATATTTTAATTTTCATAAGAGGTTTTAATTTTATGAAAAAAATTTTTATAAACTTAATTTTAAATTTATTTATAATTAATTTAGCAAATTCTATAATTGATAATAGGCATTTATTCTATAAACGCGATTGAATGGACTTATTAAAATAAAAAGATGAGAGGAAAATTAATGATAAAAGTGGTAGAAGATAATATTTCTTTGATAAAAATGTTAAGCCTTTGGGAAATGAAATCCGATTATCTTTTTGAGGAACCATTTGCACCTTTCTCCTTGTGGGACTTTCATTTTTTTGAATCGGAAATTCTATTAGAATACAAAGATGATAGAAAAAACTGGATTAAATATTTTGAGTAATATTGATAAAACATTAACAATAATATTGATGAAATAAAAATATGAATATTTTAAATTCTTTCTTTGAAAAATACAATTAAGGTAGTAAATAGCGTTTTTCTAATTTCAAATCATAGATTATCACCGTTTTGTGGAATGATTTAAGATTATCGCGAAACGGAAAAAAAGAAAAGGCTACGATGGAGTCGTAGAAATGAGACAGAATGGATTCGAAACAGTAGTTTGATTTATCAATACGCCTTGACGAAAGTATGATACGTGATTGGCGATTCGAACCTAACAGATTGGATAGATTGCAATGACACTATTAAGCTACCATTATACTTATGTTTTGATAAAGACTGCCTTATCAACTTCCTTCCTTTCCACAGACACTTTCCATTGATTCTTGATTGATAAAGCAAGCTGCTGGTTCGAAAACATTTTTTTTCACGGCCCTATGGTTTTTCTGCTTTTACCGTTTCACGATAAAGTTATTAATAAATTTAACCAATGTTTAGAGGGGACAAGCTGAAATTCCCTAGTAAGATATGGATTAAGTTTACTTAAACAATTTATATTTTTTTAAGATCTATTGAAAATAAAAATATATATAAAATTTATATTATGAGTTGATTTTAATGCGATAAATTAATTATTTTGAAAATTTCAAAAAGCAATTGACTGAAGTTTGAAAGTAATAAATATAGGCGAAAGCATATTTCAAATATTTGTTATGGCTTATATTTTGCTTAAATAAAAATTTTATAGTCAAAACATGAATTGAAAATTTTGTGAAAAATGAAATGCAGCAATACCAAAATTGAACTCGGCCATATGTAAAAACATTAAAATCATTAAAAAATAAATCTTTTTTAGTAAAATATTCATATTTATATTAAATAAATATTTTTTTTCTTTTCTTATTTTTACTCTTATTTAGATTCAGTGGTTAATAAATAATTATGAACCAGCCGATGGAACTTCATTGCCACGATGTACATTATATAGTCACTATATCAAGTTAGTTTGCCACTTCTTTTTTGCATTATTCAAATTTAATATTTTCAAAGAAAGAAAAACAAATTGTATGAAAAATGATCGGTTGAACCACTTACTCACTGGAGATTTATTGCTAGTTTTTTATTTTTTGTAAATTTTATTTTTATTGGTTCCAAAAAAACAAAAATTTTAGGCACTGCAATGATAATAAGTTAGAAGCAGTAAATGCAGCATCATTTGGTAAATTAATTCGTTCCGTATTTCATGGTTTACGTACTCGACGTCTTGGTACACGTGGAAATTCGAAATATCATTATTATGGGATTCGAATTAAACCAGATTCATTATTAAATCGAAATATTAATTTACATTTATCTGTTAATGATGAATATAATAGAAATAATAATCAACAACATCAGATGTCTACGAGAAATAGGTTATTTTCTTTAACTTTTTTTTGATTATATGGTTTCAGCAAAATTCATCCACTATAACAATATCAGCATAATATAAAAATTTTTTTTTTAATAGGCTCACTTTTACTGGTTAGACTCGTTCCGCTATCTTGTCGCACTGGATAAATATACTAGGTAATCCCTTGATGATTGAATTACAGATGCCAGCAACACCCGGATTTTTGAATGAGTTCACTCCTGCGGAGAACCTCACCATCGGTCCTCCAAATTGAACAACAAATCGCTAAAATATTCTACTTCTTTCATGGGAATTATTTTACATGATATCAATCTTAACTGTATTTATATTTATTGTGATATATAAACTGTAATTTTATAAAGTTTTAGTTTGCGTCGTTCAACCTTAAATAATGGAAGTGGAAGTATGTCACGTCGATCGAATTCAGCGATCGATGCAAATAATTCAGCGAATATATCTGATTCGATCTCGTTTGTTTTCTTCCCTTTTTTCTTAAATTTTTTAAAAAAATTTGAATTATTACTACAATATCAGAAACATAACAATAAGCAAGCTCAATTCGAATTTCCTTTCTTCAAGGCAGATTTAAATTCTGAGTGGTTTATGGCCACCATTTTTGGTTAGAACTAATTCGCTGTTAGCATAATAAAAAGTTTAGGGAGAGTTGTTTGATGACAGAAATGTCGGTAGGTCGATAGTACTCCCCGAATTTTTTAGTGACAAATTTATTCCTGTCGTGTATTTGTTATATTACTATAGTGACAATGTAATTTATGGAATGTAATTTTTTGAAAACAATACTTCAGAAATGGTCCCCCATCTTCACGAATTTATTCGACAAATACGAATCATCGATCAGCATCGTTTCAAGCATATAGTAATAATCAAAACTTAAATCTTACAAATAATGATGAAACTTGCGTTGGTTAGTTATTAAATAAATAATTTTAGTGATTTTTATTTATCTTATAAAATTGATCTATATTAAGAAATGGATCGTGAAATACTTGGTGATGGTGAAGTACCACAAGTGCCAATGCCTGATATGCAAGGATTAGAAAATTTTCTGCAACCTCTTGGATTGACTTTACAACATGCTATAAAATTTATTGATGGATATACAACAAATTGTGCAGTATGCTTTTTTTCTTATAGTATTTCTAATAAATATTATAATTCGATCGTATTTTTTGACACTTCCATATTACTTTTAATATTGTTTTTCAATAAAAAAATTATTTAGGAAGTGCTTGAATGTGTCAAACATTTACAATTTGAAGCGGTTGAAGAATGTTGGACGACTTTTTGGCAACCTGAAAATGAGCAAGAGGAAATGGAAGAGGATGATTGCATGTCGAATGAGTTTGTCGTTTCATTTTTAAAATATTGCCTGTTATTTATTATTTTATTTATCCATATTATTTTGTTTGATTTTAAAAAAATTTTTTTAAATTTTATTTGCAAGCTTTTACAAAAAAAAAGTCTTTTAGAAGGCTTGTTCAATGTTCATGGAAAATTTAATTGTTCACGGAAATATCTTATTAAAGAATGTCAATTCCCACCAATTTTCCAGGAAAACTATAAAAGGACTTAGTCAAATTCAGCTCTTTCGTTTATGTACAATTCCACAAATGCAGTCTTTCGTACAAAATATGGATTTCGCTTTTTATCAAGTTGTTGTAGAAGTATTAGTACCGGATGTTCTTAATCCTAATATGTCAAGTAAGTTTTTTAAAATAATCGAGGATATCGTACTCTCTTAGTTGCGGTAGAATTGCTCAGTGGGAGGTTGTTGCTCAATTTGGAATGCCGAGGTTCTATTATTCTCCACATGAGTGAACTTGTCCAAAAGTTTGGCGACCCACGTGTACTTCTATGACCAAGGAATTCCCTGGGATATTTGTCCAGTATGGCAAGCCACCGAAGCGAGTTCAGCCAGTAATAATGAGGACTCTTAAAAAAAATTTCTTAGTAGAAGCGCCAATTATTTCAAAGAATCTAACTTTAAAAGCTGGAGAAAGAGAAGAAAAATTGAATAAAAATTTTTCAGGCAGCCTTACCACTCAAATTCGAAATTTTGCAAAATCATTAGAAGGACAAATGCGAAAAGCAATGCATGGAGCGCCTGATGCAATTCAAAAGAAAAAACTTGTTGCCATACGAATGCTTGCACATACTTTGCGACGTTACACGTCTTTGAATCATTTAGCTTCAGCTGCACGAGGTGTTTTACAAAAACCTGATCAAATTCAACAAATGTTTCAAGATTTTAATCGAGTTGACATAACAAATGTACAAGATCAAGCCGGGTTATTTTTTCAATTATTCTATTCATAGTTCTTTTATTTCTTTTAACTATGATTGGTTGAAACGTCTTACTCTTATACATTTACAACCTAACCAGTTATGGTGAGAGCTGTTAAAAGAAGAAGAATTGGTTATGAAGAATTATGATTGGTTAAAATCTTTTTATAAGATAATATGATTTTTTAGATGGATTTGCGATTGTGATCCTATTCTTGTTTCAAATCTGCAGTCTGATTTTCGTGATAATTTGCAGAAACATAAGACTTTAGAACAATGGGCTGATTGGATGGAAGCTGTTGTTGATCAGGTAGACTAATTTTTTTAATTTAGATAATTTTTTGGCTAAATGAATTTTTTATTTCTTTTCCTTCTGATTGCAAATTGATTTGCAGGTTTTGGCGAAATATCATGACAAACCTTTTCCAATATTAGCAGATGTTTCTAAACAATTTTTAAAAAATTGGTCCTTTTATAGGTTTGTTTAGTTTTTTTAGTTCTTCTAAACTCGTTTTAAGATTTTTTGAGATAAATAAATAATGCATAAAGTGGCTCAAAAAAAAGCATTGTTAAGCTACCATAGAAAAACATAGTTATGAAAAACATAGTTATGAAAACATAGTTATTGTTATTATTATTTGTTATTATTATTATTTGTTATTATTATTATTTGTTCACTAACTCTCTTCGCTAACTCTGTGGATAAGACAAATATGTTCGGCAAATTGACAATGGAAATACAGGTAGAAATAAGCTTATCAGTCAGCATCACTCGGATTTTTCTACAGTTTTACTTCGCCTCCGGAAATTGAAAAAGCTCAGCTCAGCACTGTGCACTATCGAATTGAGCAATAACTCATTGAGCCATTCCATTTTCTAATAAAAATATGTACTGTTAAATTTTTTCTTTTTTATGAAAATTATACTAATTTTTAACTCAATGTGTCATATTAAACTAAGAAATGACTATCAACAACTATTAATAAATGAACTGTAAAATAGTGAAAATAACTAAAAAATAAAGCAAATGAAAGTTATGCATGTGAATTATGTGAATAGCCGCAGAGGCAGTTGGGCTAAGGGCGTTTCGCCTAGATTATCGCTTCATTCATTTTTTTTTTCCCTTTTGCCTTCATATATTTTTTCTCTAAATTTGGTATATTTTTGAGATATTTGTATGAAATATATTAAAATGTGATAATTGTAGTTCAATGATTATTCGTGATTTGACTCTGCGTTCAGCCCAGTCATTCGGTTCATTTCATTTAATTCGTCTTCTTTACGACGAATATTTACTTTATTTGGTGGAACTAAGGCTATCCAAAGCTGCTAATAAGCCAGTTATCTCTATTATGGCAGAGGTTATAATTTCTTGAATTTATATTTCATCAGAGATATAAATTGATTTATTGGTAGTTTTATATAGCTTAACTATAAATAATGTTATTATTATTTATTATTATTATTTATTATTAATTATTATTATCAATTATTATCAATTATTATTAATTATTATTATTGATTATTATTAATTATTTGTTATTATTATTTATTATTATTATCAATTATCAATTATTTGTTATTATTAATCGTTATTATTACTAATATTAATATTATTATTATGATTTAATGGCTATAAAATAATATAAATGGAGACATTAGAATAAATTACTTGGTTGTCTTTTTAAAAACCAGGCTTTTTCACTTTGATTATTATTGCTGTTTTAAATTTATAATTTCTAACATAGATTATTTTCGTTAATTTAGACCTTGGAAAATACGAATCATCACCACAATCTTTCTTCCCGTCATCACCAACATCATCAACTTCACCAAGCACAACATCGATTAAACTCAGCAGTAATTGCGACGTCAAATCATTCTATCATTGCAAATAATTTAGGAATGATGGAAGCACAAAACAATCATGTTTTTAATGCCGAAGATGGTGTAAATATTGTGTACATGGATGAAAATTCAGGTCAAACACATTCAATTCATTACGTCGACATGGTACCCAGTAGCAATATGGACACCCTTGAACAAATTGTTCAAAGTAGTGGTAAGCGCTTTTTTCGTTCATATTTTGAATTTTTGGATTAAAATTGGATCAAATTTAGGAATTTAGCTTTTTTAGGATTTAGTTAACGATATATTTTGAATGGCCGACAGTTAAGAAGAACTTATTGATAATTGATAAAACTTATTGGTTAATTCTTTATATTTTTTCTTTAGATATGACATTGGAACAAGTGAAGAATGATCTGCATGATCAAGCAAAACAACTTGATATCATTTGAAAGTGCCCGAAAATTCATGATTTTTTTAATTTCATTAATAAATTTATTATTTATATGATTCATGATTAAAAGATTAGAAAAAAAGATTATTTTTCATTTTTCTTTGAAAAATTATGGTTTTTTGATTTATATGAATTTTTCTGATAAAATTCACTATCGATAAGGATTCAATATACTCGAAACATATCGCATTTCATACGAAGAAAATAAAAGGATCTTTTTTAATTTGAAATAGCACTGTATAAAGTAAGTAAAATTTTATTGAGTTTTATAGTATTTCTAAATCATATTTCATAATTTAATCGTTTTTTATTTCATTTTTTAAAGCCATTTTTTATTTCTCCTTTATTTAGAGAAAGCTGAAGCGAAATTATGGAACATAATTTTTTAGCACAAAATGGGTTTATATGGACTGAGAAATTTGTAACACAGTAAAGTTCCTTTAAAAGGGATAGTTTTATAAGGAAAAACAGAATTGTCGCCATGATTTTTTTTTTTTTTTTGGGGGGGGGGGGCGGGGGAGAGAGATTTATAGATTTATATAGATTAATTTATAGGTTATTTTCATGGATTTGAATTTATTTAATAGCAATATTTTGTAAATATCAACAAATATGTCAGATGATATGGTGGAATTACAAATAAATCTTATCACTCTCACCCTATCATCTTATTTTTCGGGTGGATTTTGGATGGCAAATTTCAGGTGCCAAATTTTTCAGTCCATATTAATATTTAATATAAAAATTTTATTTGACAATAATATGAAGTTTCAAATATAATTTATGGAAAGAATATTAAAATATTTTTATAAATATATATTTTTATTAAAATCAAATGCATCAAATATTTGTTTTTCTGACGGAAATTTTTTTATTTTTTTTTCATCTCCGCTTTCAATAAATGTTTTCCACTTTTATAAAAGTGCATGAAACAGAAATATTCTTTTCATGCAATAAAATTGTACTGATCGTCATGAAAAATAATTTTTATACAATAAATTATGTTGAAATGACCCAATTTTACAATATGGGTTATTCATATTTATTTTAAGATATGTATTAAGTATACGATAGAATATTGAGAATTTATTGAAGTATTATGTCTTTTATTCTTATTTGCTTGACGTGAATAAATAATTGTAATTATATTAATCGAATTAACTGTTATTAAAGTTTTCAAAATTTCATATATAATAATAATTTATGCATTCTAAATGAGATTCTATTTCTGGTTTTTCTGACTTAGCTGATCGCTAGGAAAGAAATCAATCGAAAAGTTTCTTTGAAACATAGATTTATGTAAATTTCACAGCAGACAGAGCGAGACGAGACTTCACGTATTCAAATTATGTTTTCAAAAAATTCCCTTTATAGCCTTTTATAAGGTGAGGAATCATGATCACATCTGCTTCAAGAATATGCATGACGCGCAAGCATGATGCCCATGCTGAATCGTTAAAGGAATATTAAAACCTATATTAACATTTTTGTATTGTCTTATTGTGTTTTAAATTCGAAAAAGTCCTAAAGGCGATTGGTATACCATTTTTTTTGGCCTAAAGATACCCAATTTATCGATTTCAAATCGTTTTTTAAGATTTTCTTTTGTGAAAGAAATAAATTTAAATATGAATACAAGAAAAATTTAGAAAAATACAATTGGGAGATATTTTTTGAACTCATAAATTCATTACGAAAATTGGAAATTTATTAAAATAAATTAAAAAAATATTAATAAAAAGCTTATTAGCATAGAAAAATTAATAAATTTGACAAGGTAAAACAATTCAGAAATCAATTTTTTCCTTTTTGTCTCTCTGAATTAACTCATATAATTTTATATTTCGAATAAAATTTTCCGGATTGCGCAGGATTTCGCTATTGATGCCATTCCTGTTCATTCTTGTTGAAGTAACGAACACACAAAACAAGATAGAACGGATGATTTTCCCAATTTTTCCCAGATCTCTACAATATTCTCTTTTTCATGAATCCACACCATATAATTCGCTACCCAGAATCTTGTCACGTGTGGTACTTCAATAGATCTTATGATAAGCGTTGTTTAAATTTTGAATTGGAATTTGAGGTAAGGTAGGAAATTATTTAAGTAAGTAAGAAATGAAATGCAATAGGGAGTGGCTTAATAGATTTGAATTTTCCTAAATGAAATTCATTTGCAATAGTAAAGAAAGCAAAAAACAATGCTGTCATATGTATTGCTTCTCATAATTTTATCCAACTTTTTATCAGCTTCTCCTTTGCATTTAAGTTATCACCAACAATTGGTTAAAGCACTTTTTCCAAACCATAGATCACCTTATTATAATGTTCGTTTATTTTTATTTTTATTTGATAAAAATTTGGTAAAATATTAGAGACTTAATTTTTTTATTATTTTAATGATAACAACGTGACTTGATAATAACAATGGTGACTCAAGTAACCACCATGAAACACCATGAACTGATGCTTAGATTCGAATTCGATACGCCATTCTTTGTCGGACAGTGGCAATACAATCGATTAACGAAGAAAAGTATAAGAGAGTAAGATAGCTAAATCGTTTGTTGCTGAACTTGGTGCGGAATTGTTAAGATTCCACTCCTAGCCGGAATAACTCTGTTCTTTCAAAAATTCGAGGTTGTACTAGCGATTTACCTGTTCTTCTATTCCCTAGTATATTTATATAGCGTAACAAGCCAGTGGAGCGAGTCCAACCAACAATAATGAGTGCTCTAAAAATAGATAAATAGATAAAAATAGATAAAAATAAATAGGTAATAGCATTTTTAAAAAAAAAATCGTAAATAGCCTTAAAGCCAATTCAATAATTTTTATTATATTTGATATTATATTTGTTAAAAGCTAACCCAGAAAACTTATAGAATCGTTTTCATAACGAAAGAAGTATGGTAAAACGATCGCAGAATGATGAATTTGATTATAACGATTTCGATCCAACTTCTGTTGTAATTTAAATTGCATTTAAAGCAGAAAAAAATTGTTCAAATTTTATTTATTCAAATAATTAAGCAGAAAAATATTTTAAAATTAAAAATTTTAATGAAAATTATTATCGTTTTGTTGTCTATTTCTTATGTTAAAATCATAATGATCATAAAATCATAGTTGTAATTGTAATTTCGTATTTTTTTTTAATCAAATTTTATTTTAAAAAAAATTCTTTTATTTAATTTTTCTATTCAAAATTTATGAATAGAAAAAAAAAGAAGCATGATGGTACAATATTATTTATTAAATATTAAATTTTATTCTTATAAATTCAATTTTATAGAAATTCAAAAATTTAAATTTTCTAGTTTCCTACAAATTTTTTTTCCAAAAATTCAGATTTCAGATAAATTTCAGATATATTTCAGAATAATTCAGATAAATGGAGTTTTATTGAAAGTATTCGCATTTTTCGAAATTCTTACAAAATTTTGTCTTTACTATTATTGAAATTTAATAAATAATAAACGATGATTTTATAAAAGTTAACTAATTTATAACATTTTTATTATTGGTTGTTATATAATATTACGATATAAATACGAAGAATAATTTCAAATATTAGTAAAAAATCTTCAAATTTTATTTTCTTTAATTAGTGTTTTAATTAGTGTTTAATTTATAAAATTTCTCGCAATTTAGCAATAATAATTTAAATAGCAAACAATTATTTTTATATTTAAAAAAAAATTATAATATAAATATAAAAAATATTTTGAAAAAACTATTTTTATTAATTGTGCTTTTTTTGGAAGTAAATAATAACAAAAAATATTTTTTATTGCAAAATAAAATTAAAAATGTTTGGCAAGAAAACAATATTTTTGCGTTATTTTAAACAAATTTACATACCACTAAGTACATTCTATTATTCTATTCTATTATATATATAACATTAAAATATATAAGATATATTCGTCGAGTTGTGAAGAAATAGTTTAAAATTTAACTGCGTGCCCAATCTGTTATTTTAAATTAATTTTAGAATTGGCGATCATAGTGCTGATTGAAGTTTTCTTTCTTAATTTTCAGCTACTTACATATTTACTCAAAGCAAAAAAAACCAAATTATCTCCACAAATATTCGAATAATTTTAAAGCCTACAAACAACTTTAAAAACCACTGTAAAAATAGATTAATTCCAAAAAAAAAAATTATTTAAAGCAGTGCAAATTTATTAATCGAAATTAACCATATAAATTTATTAATTTTCAAGGCAAATTTACATATTCATTAGGTTAAATGCGTATAAATGAAGGAGTAAACGAAGAAAAAAAGTGGAAAATATTAGTGGTAAGAAAAAATATAAACTGATCTATTATTTAATATACAATTAAATTATTTCTGTCGAATCTTTTCGCTTTTTTCTTCGAATATTTCGAATGAAAGAAATAAACCAATCTAATTTCTTTATCATTAATTCAAATTATAATCATCAAATTGATAAAAAAAAACCCATATAAATCAAAAATTTACATAAAATTTAACAAATTTTATCGTTGCACAATTGTAAGTGGTTTATCATTATTCAAATCGATAGCAAATTTGTAGTTTTCTTGAATTAATTCAGGATTTTCATTTGTAAATGGTATATTATTATCATTAGTGTTTTTCATACCAATAACAACTTTATGTGCTCGTCCAATTCCTTGGTGACCAACTAATGCACGATTGATTACATCGTTTGAATTTTTATGATTAGACGTTTTATTAATATTATTATTATTGCTATTAATAATTATGCCTCCATTTATCCAAGGCCTATACCATGGTGCATTAATTGGTACTGAATAAATTTTCGTTCCCGACATATTTACCTATAAATTTGATTTTTAATTTTCAAATGTTTATCTGATAATATCTGATAATAATCGTTAAAAAACTTTGAATATTTATTTTTAATTGGAAAAATAATAAAAATCCAACTCTATATTTTCTTTATTCCCTATGCTAATTAGCATCGAACAAATTAAAACACGTTATAGGTTAATTAAGCATAATCGTATTGCTAAATCGTATTTTAAGCAAATTTCTCTAACTAGTAAAAAAATTTAAAAAATAAACTGAATTAAAAAAAAAAATTATTTATTGGGAAACTTACAGATTGTGAATTTGATTGATTATCACCATGCGAATTCGGATTAGATATGGCACTGGTTCGTTTATCATCACTGTTATCAGCATCATCACCATCATCATCATTATTTTCCAGTGATCCATATTGCTTAATTCGAGCATTCGAAACAATCGTGAATCGATTTGGATTTACAGATTGACTTTTGACTGCTTCGCATTTACTGTTGGGCGATCGATTTTCAGAAAAGTTATGATCCGATGTTGTGGGACTTATAGAATTATTTGATAATGGAGAATGATATGATGATTGAGTTGTATTATTTGATTGGGACGAATTAGCTGGACTGTAAAAAGATTGATCGGTTTGAGGACTTTCGTATGTTAAATCTGATAAAACATTATCAGATTTTCTCCGAAATAAATATGGACCATTTCCGCTTCTTGTAGTTGATAACGATTGAAGTGATTTGTTGATAAAAGAATTTTTCATTTGTGGTGGCAAGGTGGTTGGAATTGGAGGCGGTATATCATCGGTAATAATTTCAATAGGTCTCGCATAATTGATTGCAAAATTTGTGATTGGCTTTTCTACTGGTATATTTTGAGTTTTCTTCCAATTGTCTCGATCAGAGATCGAAGAAACATTATTATTTCTTACTGAACCCTTGGTAAAACTGTTGTTTCGTTTACTGTTAGAAACTGATTTTGGAATAGAATTATTATCAAAGTTAGAATGATTCTGAAAAGCATGATTTGTTGATGATATCGAAGAAATTGCTGGTGGAGTAAATGATCGAGTAGATGAAATCGCCTGAGGGCAAGTTGCTAAAGGGCTTAACGATCTATCATTGGTTTTTTTTATCATTTCATCATTTTGAGTTGATATTTTTTCAAATTTACTAATATTTTTAGCAATATTTTTATTGCACGATTCATTTAGAAGTGATGATCTTCTTTGCTTTACGTGCGTAGAATCAGTGAAATTATTGTTTATTTCACTTGTTTGATTAAATTTTTGAGCCATTAATTTGATATTATTAAAACCGGATTTATTTGCGGAAGAATTTCTATTAATCCATGGAAGTGTTTTCGAAATATTTTTTTGAGAATCATTAAAAATATTAAATTGATTATTTAATTTAGAATTAGAATTTTCATGGAATTTAGCGGTCGATTTTATATTTGAATTTTGTATTTGAGATCGATTTTGAAGACTATTCAATAATTTAATACGATTAACTGCTGAACCAGTTGGAATTTCAGATTCGATCATTTCTCGTGTTGGTATTGGCGAAGTGTAACGTTCATCAGCTTTTTTAGTTTTATCTTCTTTCAAAAATTGATTTGATTGAATATTTTTGTTATCGGGCGACGATTCAGATAAATCACAAAACTGTTGTTTTATTAGTGATTGAGGTTTTGTTGATAAAAATGATTCATTACTTGAACTATGAATTGTTTCTAAAGCATTTTGATTTTCATTTACGTCTGAGGACGAAGACTGATTTAAATTTAAATAATTTCTAAGAGTTGGTGAAGTAATATCATCAAGATTAACTTTACGCAGTTTAACACCTGCTCTTATCGATTTTAATAATGCTTCACGATCTATTATTTGTTGATTTGGTGATTTTATAGATGGACGAAAATTTTTTTGATATTGTGATCGTTTTATTGTCATATCCGAAGAATTAGCTAATGATGAATTTAATTCAGTATTAGATGATAATGACGATGATGCTAATTGATGCTTTTGTTCTTCGAAAGATGTTGAAGAATTTGGCCGATTATATCTTGAACTATCAGCTTCATCCTGATAGTTTTCATTCGAAGTTTTGCCTAAATATCGATATGAATTTTCATCAATAAATGGGCCACTTCTATCATTAGTTATAACTTTTCTAAGTTGAACGCCTTGACGTATTGATCGTAATAGCAGATCGCGATCAACAACCTGCTTACCTCCAAGTTTAAGTAATGCTGGATTAATTTGCTTTGTTTTATCACTACATTCGGAAACGTAGAGTGGAGAAGAAAAAGGACGAGGTGAAGGAATGGATGTTTCCTTTTTAGCGTATTTCATTTCATCATTTTCACTAAAAGATTCTTCTTGTTGCACTATTGGTGTTCTTCGTATATTATTCAAAGATTCGCCTTCGATAACTATCATAGGTGCACTTTTATCAATCGTTTTAGTAGGTTTTAATGGGATTCCTTGACGAATTTCCTAAAAGATAAATTTTACTTTTTAATTTTATAGTTTAATATTTTCTTAAATATTTCCTCATCATAACAACCAAAATATCATAAATTTTACTTTATATTAAAATATTTATCAAGAGGATTTTCAATAATTTATAAAAAATTATTTATTAATGAATTTTCGAACAATAAAAGTTTATTACAACACAAAAAAAGGAAAATATATAAAGATTAACGTCAAGAATTGGGTGCCCAATGAACATTCTTCAAATTTATGCTTTTCAATTGATATAACCAACCAATTCGAAACTGAAATCACCTTTTAATTATTTAACAGAAAAAAAATTGATTTTTTCGATTAACAATATTTTAATATATATTAAATCGCTTCAAGCATATTAAAAGAATTGATATATCTAAAATGCGTGAAAGATGATAAATAACAAATAAATCTCGGATACACGATAAATCCATGAACGAACCAAACTAAAGTACAATTATGTAAAATTTTTCTACGATTATAAGATTAGCATTAGAAGTGAAAAAAAATGGTAATGCTGGCTTATCTTTACTTATTTTCTTCTAAATGTGCGCTCACCATTTCCGACTAAATTCGTCCTGCTGGCTTGTCGCACAATGCAAATTTTGTGAGGCAGTCATTTGCCAATTGAATTATAAGTAATCCGCTAAGGATTTTTGAGACAGGTCTATGCCATGATTAGAACCCTAGGGTGCAGTTTGAAATAAGCGCAATCAATTGAGCCAATAATTTGACAATTTGCAATTTGCATTTTAGTATTATATTACTTTTAATAGAAAGTATAAAAACGATATACATTTACACATATTAATATAAATAAATTTAAACAATATATATATATATATGTATAATAGCCCAATAGCCCAAGATGATTTCTTCAGCAACTAAATATAATAATTTTAAAAATTGTGTCAATTTTACAATTTATTTCCAGAAATCATATTTATTTAATAGAAAATTATTTAATTCACACATATTATATTTATTCCAAATTTGAATATTCTTTTAAAAAAAAATTTTTTTAAATATTCAGAAGGTTTTTTTTTCTCGTTAATTTAATTGTTAAAAATACAGTATTTCCGGTAAATTATACCATGAAAATAGTATAAATAAACCATAAATATCATAGCAAACCATATACTATTTTTATGCGTTGATTCTGCTTTATGAAGAACGATATTTAGAAAGAGTCATATAGAAAATAGAGTTATAGAAAATAAAGAACATCATTAAAAGTAATAAGAGAGATGTACCAACTCGAAATAAGCCAAAAACACAAACTAAGTGAAATCTGAATCGTGGAAAGTGAATAAATAAGCTTAACTAAATAGTTAGCTCAATTTCGGGAGAACAATGAATCTGACTAATTTGATTAGAAAGTAAATAAACTTATGTTCTTCGTGTTCTTAACAATAGGCGCCATTTCTATTTAGTTCACTTGGTTCTACTGATGATTAAAGGAATGAGAAAATGAATGTTTTTCTTCTTCCAATAGTTTTCACCATTACTGGTTAGACTGGCTCCAACGGCTATAAGGGCAAGACGCTCCCAAGCAGCGCGGTCTGATGCCATCTTCGACAGTAATAGAAGCCATTCCTTTTTCCATAAGTCCATATGTTGCTGGTTCACCCATATGTTCAAAATTTCTGACCATATTAGTCCAGGGATTGACCTATTTCGCTTTTGATGCCACTTATCATAAGGTTTAGTATGTATGCGTCAACTTTTGTGGTGAAAAACGAAGAACATGTCCTAACCAGTGAACCCTATGATGGTACTACTCACGATTAGAAGAATTAGAAGAATGAATGTTTTGTTATAAACAAATCCTGAGCAATCAGTCGAGAATTATTTAAATTGATAATATAGTGAATGAATAGAATTATATCAAATAAACTAATTAACTAAAAAATGGTGAAGGAATCATTTTTACATTATAAAGATTTTTATAAATAATTAATAACTATTTGAGAACTTATTGGAGATTTTATCAAGTCAAGGAGATAAAATCCTATCAAAGAGATAAAATCAAGCTTAAAAATGTGAAAAACACGATGTTTAAATAATAGAAAATCGCGTGATGAAAGCGAATTTTATTTCAGTATCAGCTGTTGTAGATTTTAAAAAAAATGATAAACGAAGCAATTGATTGATAATCAAAAACATTTCATTTTTTAAGGTATTTTTTTAATTTTACAACTAAAATCTTTTAATTATTTTTAAAAGTAATGACTTCTGCATAGCTTTTAGTGATAATTTATTTTTTTCTAAAAATATAAAAAATAAATGTTGTGGAATTTTTTTAAAAATATTTAATATTATAAATCTTTTTGAATAGGACTTGGCCAAATTTAAGTCTTTACATCCAAAGTATTATCAAAGATATACCAGTGATAGTGGCTGCTGATAGCTATGAAGAAAAGCAAGAGATAATAGACACTATATCGATAATTGCAGAAAAAATCAGGCAGTGATGGATAGCGTTAAAAGGACCAATCAAAACCTGGTCTGATAAAGTCAGAAGAAATTTTGAATATGTGTGAGTGGTCCAATGATATAAATATATATCATTATAAGTATATAAATATATATATATAAAGGTTTATAAATATATAAACCTATATATATATATAAATATATATAGAATATATAAATATATATATTCAAATATAAATATATATATATAGGTTTAAAAGGTACAAAAAGGTTTGTCCTCGAATTGACGGCTTGAAAACCTATTACCCTTGTAACCAGCGGAATCAACCTAATCAATGTGAATTGTTAGAAGAAACGATTTTTATTATTATAAGTAACTGTAGTATTAAAAATATCAAATGAATTTCTCATTTCTTTCTTAAATGCGTGGTTAGCGTTCACCATTTCTGAACCCTTCCATTCGTTTTAGTAGCAGTTTTAGTATTTTTTTCATAAATTTTTATCAGTGAACCTTTTTTTTTTTAAAAGAGTGCTCACCGTTACTGGTATGACTCGCTCCACTGGCTTGTCGCATTGGGCAATATGCCTCGGAGTCTCTTGGCCATGCAGGTGAGTCGCCAGCATCACACGGATTTTTGTACAGGTTTACTCCTGCGGGGAATCGACCGTCAGCATCAGTGCTGGCAATTGAGCAACTGAGCACTGAGCCATTCTATCCCCAATTAGTGAATTATATGAGGACAGAAATAAAGGCGATTCGTCTTCACCATCCAAATTTTTAAATGACAGGTTTACTGCCAGATCCACGATTTTAAGGTTGAAATGATTAGCTGAATAATAATAATAATTTTCTTTTTACACTTAACTCCGATTCCGATCATAATTCCAATTAAAACAAATTGAAAAAGAATTTAATCCTATAATGAACTATTACATAAAATTATAATAGAATGATAATAAATTGATAATAAAAGCTACTAAAAACTAAATGATAATAATTGATATGGAATTTTGAGGCGAAAAACGAAATAAAATATGTCTTACGGACAAGAATAGAATAAAATCTCAATAAATACGAAATTCAAGAGTACACTTTTAATTTTTATATGTTCTTCACTATATTTCTCAATAATCTTAACCATTATGCATTTCAATAAATATTATTTTTATTGATTGACATGAATTGTTCACATCGTATGAACTCGTACGACGGGGATTTCTTCATTATTTAACAAGGTCAAATGTTTTATGAATCAATTATATATTTCTACTTGATCAAGTACCTGTACTTTGTTTATAAACAGGCGAATTTATTGAGAAAATTTTTATTTCTTTATTATTATTATTATTACTATTAATATTACAACCAATTAATGTAATTGAATATTTATTATTGTTCTTTTATAAATTAATAATTAAATTTTATGAACGTATCGTAACTGATCGAAAAGCATTACTATATATTACCATTTTTTGTTACAATAATTAAGAGGAAATATTTTATCAGTAATTTTATCAGTAATCAGTAATTCAATAAATATATATGCATTTATATATATTTTATACAAAATGCATTTTAAAAAATTAGTCTTATTTTGTTAATTTTAAATAAATATAATTAAATAAATAAATTAATAATGTAAGTCCAAATTTAAATAAGAAATTTGCTTATGGCTATTAAAATTTTTCAGAGTTAAATTTATAGGTTTATGGGCTTAGAACATAATGGAAAAGCAAATAATTTTATTTTTTCATATATATTTAATGAAATGGGGAATAGAATGGCTCAGTGTGTTGTTGCACAATTGGAAGCGTCCAAACTGAGGTTCGATTCCCTGCAGGAGTAAACCTGTAAAAGAAATGAGAAATGTATATATATATATATATATATATATAAATTATATAGCCGAATATTATTAAATAGAAGTGCGAAGCATTATGCGTTCTGCTTTCTGCTCTTCCTAGCAAATTGTACTTGTGATAAAGAATGGCGAAACAGTCACATATATCTCTTTTTCGCAGAGATAGCCTGGTGACAAGATTTCAGCCTAGTCAATCGAGTTCTGCTTAAATCAGGAAAAAATATGAACTATTAGAAGATGAATGGTTGTATAACCATTGTACTTATTGATAAAAGTTATGTTTCAATATCTAGCAGCAGTTACTATTATTATTGCATCGCTATTTCATAGTTTGAACGAGTTTTTTTTTTTATAAATACTTTACAAATCCTTGCACTAATCAAAAAAAATCAAAAAATAAGAATGAAATTAGTGAAGCTGACAAATTCTTAGAAAAAAAAGGACGTTCTTACAAGAAAAAAAAAGAATTTCACGATAAGTGGGCACTTCAGTTCCTTCTTTTTGAATTTAGAAAATAGATTAATATGCTTAATGTGCAAGTAAATTCTCAAAACATTGACAAAATGGAATATATGAACTCATTATCTTGTCAATTCGTGTCAAAGCCGGAAATTTTTATTTTTTTCTTCTTATGGCCTTCACAAAAATCTTATCCCGGAAATTTGGCGTTTATTACCAAAAATTGTGTCTATCACTGATTTGTATAATAATTTATTAGTTTTTTGCATGTTTTTGCCTAAGAAATTTGCAAATCATTCCAAGGCATAGTATTACGCTGATAATGCAACTGTTTTGTTGATAATTATGAAAAATCGCAACAAAATTCTGAATTAATTAATCTACTATATATATATATATATATACGGGGATAGGATGGCTTAGTGAGTGGTTGCTCAATTAGAAGCGCCGATGCTGAGGTTCAATT